GACATCATTTTTTTGCCTCGTCCAGTTCTAACTGAAGTCTTTCAATATCACTATCCTCCTTTGTTTCTGTAGACGGCAAGCAATCGGTACTTGTTGCACAATCTTCTTTGTCTTCATTTAAACACAACTGAAAGATATATATTATACCAAAGCATATTACGTATTCAGTATGAATTCAAATTATTATTTTCTATAAGTACAATGTAGTAGTATACATTTATTAAACATAAATAAGCCTAACGGATATATGTATTTTAATGACATGATAAAGATATGAGTTTAATCAGTGACTTTACAATAAGATACCTTTCAATGAGCATTTTCTTTTCAGTGGTCTTCTTGGAGTTGTTTATTCGACCCAATTAAAAACTGACGGAATAGAGTTATTTTTCAGTCTCTGTCTATGTGGTGTCCAGTTGTATTCCTCAGTTTTAAAATATTAGAACACACCACAGTAGATGCAGTTACCTAAATATACAACATACATTTAAAATTAGGAATAATACGGTAATTTCATTTCAGTCAGCTTTATTTATCTATTTGTAGCGTAAATATGAACTGACAATAATTAAAAGAAAACAATTCTCCCACTATTACATTTTTGTGTCGCCTCTTCGAGTAGTGGCGACATATAGGGATCACTGCTCCGTCGTCTGTCTGTCCGTCTGTCTGTCACAAAACTACTCCTCATAAACTACTGGTGAAATTTCATCCAAACTTTACAGGAATGATCAGTACCAAGTCTAGTTGTGCATATTGTCAGCATTTTCCGGTTCAATGATTTTTGTTATAATGGCCCTTTAATAATTTTTATTTTTAAAGTTTGTCCGGACTACTTCTCTTATGCCACTAACGCAATTTCAATAAAACTTTACAGGATTGATCTGTAGCTTAAGTCCTTGTCGTATAAAATTGCACGGGTTTCCGGGTTGAAATTTTTGGCCGAGTTATGGGCCCTTTATAAAAAAGGTGTTTTTTTCTGGTGTTTGCCGAAAAGACACAAAAGCTTATCCGGACTACTCCTCATAAACTACTGGTGCAATTTAAAATCCAAACTGTCCTTGCTATATTGCACGGGTTTTCCGGTTGAATGATTTTGGCGAGTTATGACCCTTTGATAAAAAAGGTGTTTCTTTTTTGTGTGTTGCCAGATACACAAAGCTTATCCGGACTACTCTCATAAACTACTGGTGCAATTTTATCCAAACTTACAGGAATGATCAGTACCCAAGTGTAGTTGTGCACTGTCCGTCTGCCTGTCCGTCTGTCACAAAACTTGTCGCACATGAAATTGGCATTATGAGGCGACACATGTGACGCTCTGTTTTATTTACACAAAAGAAATTTATTCTACTCATCAAATATTATTTTTAGACACTTACCTCAAACAATTGCCCTTTTCATCCCTTCTGATTTAGTTTCCATTGTGTTTTTTTAATCTGTATCCTTTGGAATATGATGAAAAGACTTTAGAATCATATCTGCCGTCAGAATTACACATAGCACACAACAATAATGAGAAACATTTCTTACACACCCGACAGTGTGTCTATTATTAGTGAAATAAGTGTTTTCAGTGTGTTTTACATTAATGCCAGTTAAGCCTTATTCTGATTCTGGAATTTCAGGTATGCATATAATTTGAGACGGCCTATCAGGAACATCCACTATATTTCTGATTGGCTCTCACGTTTTGGGGTTTACAATAACAAAACTAAATATTTTCGGTAGGTTCCGAGTACGTGAATATATTTTATTGAAAAAAAAAATTCCTAATCAAGATTCCTCATTTTATACATCATGCAAATTAGGAGAGCTGTCGTATATCACACTCGACATTGATGTGGAAATACCCGGCATCCTATATTTCCATTTCGGCATCCTTCATTTAGTGTAGAGAAAGACCCTTGATGTCGCCCCAGACCATAATATTTCCACATAACAGTCTCGTCGCTATCTTAACAGGCCAAACAAAATAACATTTTATTGAGCTGCAACGCCTTAAACTGACTGTAGAGAAAAGTAAACCGTTATGCTTTCTAATCTACATAAGAAGGAAAAATTGTAAATGTCTTGCCTGATCAGACCATTATTATACATAATTATATAAAAATAAACATATTAAATTTTATTTTGGAAAAGTTGTTATTTAATAGAAATAAATATTAAAAGAACTATTAAACTCTCGAAGCAAAACTGGAAAAAAATGTGTGAATTATCGAGAGATTTGTAGTATCATTCTTTGTATAAGTAGTCTATTTTACACTCATTGATGTTAATAACTTCTTATCTCTCTAAACAAGGAAGTATTTTTTAATCGTGTACATTGATATTTTCTTTTCTTTGTCATTAAAATGTATAAACGAATTTTATGAAATGGCGCATATTTAGTGATGACGATATTACGCATCGAAAAAAAAAACATATTGAAATGTATATAATTTTTTTCAAGGGGGAATATTTTCGAATCATTAGTAAACACTTTATAAATTGCATTAAATTTTATTTAATTTCCATTAATTCTTCAGAAAACAAATTTATTATCAACACCAGAAAGGAATAAATACAACTGGTTCTTACAAACGATATATAAAAATGAACATAAAAAATCATAGGTACAACTAACTTTCCCGTTTACCAGTGTTTATTTAGTGATATCATAGGTACTTTGACTATTTGTTTCAATCAAATTATATTTAGAAATATCTACATCGACCATACTCTCCATTTTTGGATCCAAGTATTTGTAAAATCAATTCCTTCAGACAAACATAACTTATTTATAATCAAACAATATTTTAACCTTGTTTTAAAAAACGACAACCACATATATAGGTGTCAATAAGGCATCAAAAAAAAAAGAAGAAAAAAAAATCAGAATGGGCACCCAAAAACATTGGAAATTTCAATTTACACGAATAACATTAATAATGAATCAAAGTCATTTAATGAAACAAACACGACCTTGAAAAATACTTCTAATAACGTCTTTTTTTATAAATATACATTTAAGGAAACAGACTGTCTCAAATCATCACTTTCTCTAGTATAAAGGTCTTTATCGGTTTTCCAACGACCATGATTCTTGATAAGCCTATCTGGCTGCAGCTGTTGCTGCCCCTTACCTTAATGAATGGAGACCAAATTTCGACCTGTCTAACCCTAAAAGAGACATATGAATCAAAACTAATTCTCTCGCCGCTTTTGTCAACGATATGAGATTTCCTTCCCTTAGCTTGTATGTTTTTGATTAATTACAAAAAATAAAATTCTTCTGAACTGCCAGAGATGCCCGATAAAAGCAACTGTTTTTTCAGAGCTTTTACTGGACAAGGATCATTTTTAGTTTAACTGACCAGAATTGTTTGACCTTTTTGCAGTAGGTCAGTTTTTGACTCACGGATAATGATTTCGATATGATTTCGATTGAGAATAATATCGTTTTTTTTTAAGAAGTTACTTCGTTAAATCTCCAGAAAAACTTTATAAAGTAATTGTCACGAATCTGTAACCTAGGAGACAAATTAACTAAGTACTAATTACAAGGATTGTGGAATTCTGCTAATTTATGCGCATGGGAAATTTCATATAGCTCGCTGGTAATTTTATACAAAGTATTATCTCTCTCCATACAAGAAAGATAGAGAGAAACGTGATAACCAGAGGTACGAATGGGTGTGAAATTTATACTTGTTACATTATTTGTGAAAATGTTTAGAATAATGTTCATAAGACTTTATAGTATATTAAGCTTTAGATTTTAAAGAACACTTCTCTTCTTAAGGCTTCCATGTGCTGCACAGAGATCCGGATGAATGTAGACAGCATTGATTTCTTTCCAAAGTCCCATTTTTAAGAACATCTGTGAAATCATTAACCTTTTACCACATTAGCATATTATGAAAAATGGCCGTTTTCATTGAAAAAACTCCTGTTACAAGTTCAAACTGCTATGAAACCATGAAAATTCTTTAAAATTTCTCATTATCGTGGCAACGGGGAACGTCTAAAAACTGCCAAAACTCACCAAAACTGATTTCAAAGTGCTGCAACTTCTCAAATAATTGAAATAGAGTTAAAGGCTTTTCAGCGTTGGTTATACACGTGAACTTAAAATCAAACTGAGGCCATTTTAGTCTGTCACATGTCCACAATTTTCTTGGCGATTCAGGAGGCTTCCGCCACCTTCAAGTCCCGAAAATGTCGACAGGAATACAAAATTTATCGTCAGCAACTACTTCTTAGCTGCGAAGAATAATAAGATTAAGATTAAACTCATACTGAATACAATTAGCTTCTTTCTTGAACTTGACTGAATGAGTATAATGCAATTTGAAATTCAAATGTTAAATTCAAGTCCTTTTTAAAGTCCTTAGAAGATTTCTAAAAAAGAAAAAAGTTTCAATTGCTTTCCTCCAGGTTCTGAATGGCTAGCTCTATCGCCTGTCTCCTCCAAATTGTCAATATGGTGAACGCTCAATATGGATGCTCGAGCTATCTTCCATGATTTAACTAAACAGTTTAGTGTTTCTGTCTATATCTGACCTCAAAGAGACTATTACACCTTACAACACGGTTTTTATATAAACTGCTACCCGTTAGAATTACCATATTTAGTAATTTTGATGCAAAACATGACTCCAGTTATAACATAGAGCTTAAATAGATAAATAAATCGGTTTCACAATATCATCAGGAGGATAATGAAAATATTAATGTTTATTATTTTGAACCAATAATCAAGTAACATTTGAAAATAAAGGGTTATTATTTGGTTTAAACATTGATAAGTAAACTGATTTTTGTTGGTTACTGTTTCACTTTTTTATTCTCTTATTTTTGAATAGAGTATCGATTGAAGTGAATAAAGTTAAGAATCTTACATCCAACTTAGATTACAACAATAATTTGAATTTTCATCACGTATGTAGTAATCAAGGAAGTAAGATAAACATTTATTTATTGAGAAAGGTTTAACTCTTTTGTTGCCCATTTTTCAGAACAATTACAAGAAAGACAGCAATGTTAGATCACTAGAAGTTACTGGATTAATGTAAATGGCTTCTAAGGAAAACATATACTTTCTACGTTCCTTTTTACTGCTTATTGAAGGTGGCTTATATATTTCAAAAGAAATTCTAACTAGAGAATGTCAAAAGCCTGATACTGACCTAGATGAATTGCTACAAAAAAATAAACAGAAACTTAAACATTCATTTCACGTTAATCAATACAGGAAATTGTATCCGGAGTCTGATAAAACTGATATCAAGAATTGGGACTTGCAGCTGTCAGTTGGTGTTTTGATAAATGTGTTTGGGAGAGACCTTAAATCGGGTGAAAAGGTCAAGCTTAAACTGTTAAGAGATTTAAGAAATGATATTTATATGCACTGCACTACTGCTGCTCTAGATGAAAGCAAATATGAAGACATAGTAGAAGACTTAGGTGACATCATTACAACATTAGCGTCAACGTTTGATATATCAGTACAACAACGTTGTTCTAACTGCATCAAGCAGTTTACTTCCGGACCATTAGATGGTAGTATAACCTTTTTAATACTTTAACACTCGGGGGAAATTTCAGAAAATTCTAAACTCTTTTATTACAAACCAGCCAAAATTGAACAAGTCAGCATCTTTATTTGTTGCCCGCACTTACAAACTACATAATAAAAATATAACTTTAACAGACATTCTTTATTTTCTCATAAATTACTCACAACTTTAATAGAACGTGTTGGTAATTTTCTGAAATTTGATTGAAAATAAGGTAAATTGTATTATCTAAATATTCTGATACTCATCAATTTTCAACTATCTCTAGCAAAATAGTAGCTATTTGGACGCTCGTGAAATGAAAATATGTTAAAAATATCCAAACAGATAAAAGGCAACAAGGTTGAAAATTGAAATGTACTTAGCATGGCTAGGTTAAATTATTATATCACAACGTTTGACTTCTTTTTCAAATTATTTTTTTTTTAAAAGAAACGCACATTAAATGAATGCAAAATTATTATAATAAGAAGTATCTATCACCATTTGATTAGGAATATCTCTTCAATACATCAAGTACATGTAGTTACTTTCAAGCTGTTAAATCATAATAAGATTGATTTGAAATCTTTAAGGATGTTATATTTATTTCTGATATAGTTGTAAGTTTTATATTCTATCCTTTTTGCAGCCGTAAGACCATCTTTACAGACCTTGAATGGGTTTAGCCAGTCGTATCAAAGGACGTTCCAAGGTATATAAAATGAATTTGTATATTGCTTTTTTTGTTTTCACAACACAATGAAATCTGCCTTAACTTCGAAATATTTTATACGATATGATTCGTTTTACACTGTCAGCGAATGACTTGCTTTGATTTTATTTGATCTTGCCAATGGCAAATATACTTACCTTTATAAACTCGTCGAGATGTTGGAGGTAGCCGCCTTACTGTTATAAATGAATTATGTTCAGTTCAATTAATAATACATTTTTGCATTATTTTACTTTTTAAATTCCATCGCTGGTAGTAGTTTCAAAGGTTGTAAATCGAAAATCTTTAAAAGTCAGTTATTAGATTCCAAGTTTTAATTGACATCTTATGACAATTTATGATTTTATAGAAAGGTTACTTTTGTTATGATATATACAGTTGGTGTGCAAACAGAATTGGTTATCTGTGGTCCTTCTTCAAACTGGATAACTCTTTGTGAACAAACTCTTGAGACAATATTCAATCATGCTGAAAGCATGGCAAGTGAAGATGGTGGATTTCAAGAAATCCAAGAAAATGTTAAAAGAATGCTTAGCTATTTGGAAAGCAATAAAGCTGCTGTATTCAAAGGATGCGAAAGAAAATGCATTATCCTGTTTTTTGAGTGCAAGGACTATGAAAGTTTCCTGAACTTTCTTCATAAGGTAGAATGTCAGGAATACACATGCTATTTAGGGGACTTATCGAGTTCCCTTCATAGCTTCTTTAAGCCAAGAAATCCGATATCTATCACATCCAAAGTAACATCAGAAAGTTTGCAATCGGTATTGATTGATATTATTAGTAAGTACATTAAAGCTTACAATCATCTTGTACTAATCTTACAATCGTTTATTTTCTATACTTGTAATGTAGACAAAAACGTAGACTTTAATGTCATATAAATGTTACACAGTTAATCCATTCTTTTTGTGCAGTAAAATGCAACATATTATTACTGTAACTAACGTTTTAGATATACATGTAACTTTATGGATTAAATGTATGTTGCAAGTTTTTTGCCTTGTCCCTTTTAAAGTAGCCCCTGTAATGAATTTAATTTTTAAATACATAATAAAAAACTGATAAAATGGAATTGCTTTTTGTAAAAATAATGTTTTGTTCTTGTTTATTAAACACTTTATTTTTGAAGAAAGTCTATCTAATGAAAAGGAAGAACAACGCCAAGTTGTTGAAATATCATCTGAAGAAAGTATCCATGACAACATGGCAATGGCATCACGTGATGTTAATAAAGAAACGAAGCCGATTAAACAAAGCGAAACCACTCTGTTGTTGCATCTGGAATTAATACATTGGGAAGCTTTACCAAAAATGCTACAATCATTCCAAGGAAAGCAATTTTCAGATAGCTTGACGAAGGTTGCAGGCTCACTTTCACATCATTATGGGGGCGAAATTACTCTCAAAGCATCTATGAATGTCGGTGCTGTACTGGAGGCTTTAGAAGAATCAGGTTTGAATATTACTTACATTTCAATTAAAAATATGAAAACATTTGCCTAATTCGATAGTATAATAGCAAAGATATAAGAATAACATAAATTTATTTTGAACATTCAAAGATTATCTATCAAATTGATATAATGTGAAAATCAGGTTACATTGTTTGTTTCAAATGAGTAATTGGTTTTGATTTTAAAGTGTCCAATGAAGTTACAGTAGATAGTCTTAGAGCGACTAAAAAGTCGGAGAGCATCTATGCGAAGATACCAAAAGAGAACGATTTTCCCTTATTGCCAGGTACGTACATTTAGATTTAATTTTGTGTTATAATTGACTGAAATAAGAAAATATAATGTGTTAATCAAGTGATGGTAAATATACAAATTTTATATCTCCTTTTTATTTAGGGTATATGGACTTTGAGAAACCAAACATGCTGATAAGTAAAATCTCAGTGTTTCGGTTTAGTCTATATGTATCTGTTTGACCTTGAATATGTCAAAAACATCAATTATATATCCTTCTGTCAGTTATTGGTCAGTTTTCTTTCCTTCGACGTCTGATATTCTGAATTGTCAAGTATGTTTCATTTTGTTAATCGAGGAAGAATGTAATGATTTGTCAATCCTTCATAAATAAGACATGTTGTTTAAATAAGTCTATTTCGTATTCTTATTCTTGTATTTGACATAAAATTATGTTGATTAGTACAGTTTCAAACCAACTGTTTTGCATGAATTATGCAAAATTATTAGGTTTCTTCATTCCTGTTATACATCGATTGTAAGATTGTAAGTTCCAAAAAGCAATATTTGTAAAGATATTACCGAACTTACATTTCATGTAAATAAAGGGGGGTAATTACAAATGTATTTTCTATAAAGTCTAAGTCACATCTTTTAATAAAGAAATGAATGCATATTTTTTAATGATTACATACAATGTTGTCAAATATGTGCTGTACATATTTTACATATTCTTCGATGTTTGAAAATTGTGGCGTGAGGGATGTTGCATTTATTCATTATCCCTCATGTACAGACTCAATCAAACCAAGTCTGCAATTCTTATGTAATTTTTGTTGTGATAAATGCTTCCGAGGGATCACTTTGTTTGAAGCAATATATAACAGCCTTTAAGAATTGCTTTTTTGAAAAACTCCAAAATAATACATGTACGAGAAAGATTAAACAAATAATGGATAAATGTAAAAATTTGATTTAAGGGTGAAATATTAAAAAATAATGGATGTAAGTTGAAATATGATTAAGTTGAGGTTAATTAAGTGAAAATTAATTGACTCATGGAAACAGTTTAATATAACTGTAGATTAAAAATAGTTTGAGACTGAACTTTAAAAATGGAAGTTAGAAATAATAATAGGTCTACGTTGTTGCTTAAAATACACGTGTACATCAGTTGTTTGTTACAATAATTCAGAAGAGGAAATGAAGGACTATATAGCATAAAGGTCATAAATGCGTAGCCAATTTGATATATGTATTTATAACATTAGAGTAATGCGTATATAATTTGCATATTGGGTTTTGTAAACGTCGGCTATCCGGACATGCATTATAAAGTCTAGATTTTAATATCAGTCATTTTAAGAAATCATTCATATTCATTTGTCTAAGTAAATTTTGCTCATTTTAGGATATGTTTACAATACAAAATATTTGAAGCATATTATCTGCACTCGTTCGATAGTAAAATCAAACATTTTTTGTTGCAAGCCGTAATCATGCTAAAACCCAGACATCTGGTACTACAATGCACCCACCCCGCCCAAAGGTTCGAAGGGAATTATTTATGAGAAAAATATTTTAATTTGTCAAGTTGTGATAAGAATTAGGTATTAAAATAGATAAATACAGAATCCCTAAAGAAAGCCCAACACGGCAAAATTGAAAATGTTGCAGGCTCGGTTTGATTGAGCCTGTTCATGGACGGTACTTGAAAGTGCAAGTTACCGTCCACGCCCCCTAGCACCGGCTTAAGCAGAATTCAACATTTAAACATGAAATAGTAAAATTTTGAATATAGAAACATCCGCAGATGTGTTCATACGGCGGTTATCATGGAACCTTCAATGTGACACTTCCGTGCCATTCCATGAAAAGCGGCGTATGGTCCCCAAGTAATAAAAAGCTTGTGCCCTAAACGAGAAAACAATGGGCGGAACTAAATAAAATGGAATTTTGATAGGGGATCAGAGGTTATGAAGCCTGCGTATCACAGATAAGACGTCAAAAGACAAATTTAAAAAGCATATAATCATAAAGTTGTTAAAAGTTGTTTAATTTGTCAAGTTGTGATAATGATTTAGTAGTTAAACATATAAACATAAAGTTGGCCAACATCTTTAGGATAATTGAATGATACAGATTTTGATGACTTTGAGAAATAAATTCATTTCTGCTAAATAAATAACGACAAAACGTAATCAAAGCTCTTTTTTCATTCAAATATTTTCAGACAACTTATGCCTTTTTATCGGTATGGTAAAATAGTAGTTATCGAGCTGTTATTTTTCAAAAAGATAAGTCAACATTTGCAATACATTCAGACGTACACGATTATTATATGTGATTTATTTTATGTAACATGTTTGACATGCTTGATGCGGAAATGTTAAGACAAAATGTACAATTCATATAACTATGGAAATTATGAATACTAACAAAATCCAGATCAACTGAATTAGAGATTATTTGACAACTTTAATTGGCAAATATATTTCTAAAATGAAAAAAAAAGGTTTACGGATATATAATATTGACTCGATTGAATTCTTTTAATGTTGGCATATACAATATAGTTGCTTAAGTTCGACATATACTTATATAGCAATTAAATAGCTTACTCATATAAGCGAGTCTTCAGTGTCTGGTTGAATTAGAACCAACATCATTGAATGACGCGCAATTTAAAGTCACTGACACGACTGTCACGGGAGCCGCTGACAAGGCATGTACTGATAAAAACTAAAATAAAGCAGAACGTTAATAATACGTATATTTGTTACTGGCTTGTCCAACATTGGTTTAGGGCCTTATATCTACCAAATAATTTCCATAACATGATACCGGTAAATATGATGTTTAATGTGTTTTCAATGTATCAAATGTAATTTTTTTATTTTGCCTTATACATGCATTTATAAATCCGTTTCCTATATTTATAAGTGATTAAATAACAGTTCGACATGACCTAACAAATAGTAAATATAAAACAATTTCCATTGCATACATATACCTTCCTCTTAAGCATACAAAAGCTAATCTTTCTTTTGTTTTAAAATATGGACCACGTTTTAATTCAATAGCATGACCTTTTGCCTTTCGAGTATACATAAAGATTGTTTGTACAAAATTTACATCTAACGTCGTTTTTTAAGTCAGGATAAAATGTAAATATCCCACATGACGCAATATTTTCGACCAAAAGAGGTTTAATTTTGATCGCTGATTAATAAAACATTTTTGTTATCTACACATAAAAAATAATCGAACAGCTAAAACTAGATACTGTGTGTTTTTTGCAAGGTATTTTCACACCAAAAACCTTTGGAAAATAATCTTAAGTGTTTTTGTCTATTAAAAATTAACATTTATTCTAATATAAATATTTCACCCGATGCTGCTTAGATTGTATTCAAACACATGAACGTCTACCTTTTCTTAAAGAAATTGTTATCTGAATGACCTGTATTTATTTCCTAATTGAGGCGACAAGACCCCAGACAAAATACCTTGCTTAAGTATAAATAAATACAAGTATTGTATATTATAGTTTCTTACGACTTTAAAAGAGTTTGACAGCTAAACTCATTTACAGAATGAAAATGACGACATAATAATTAAGTATATGTGCGAAACTCTTTGCAGGAACTCTGGAAGAAGGAGAAGCATATTTAGTAACTGACCAAAAGGAGCTGGAAGACGGAAAAACCAGTAACATGGAAACGGAATCAGAAGATTCGGAATATAACAATCCTGGTGAGATTAATGAAATAATGATTAATTTATGAATTCAGAAGTCGTAGTTCGGCTATGAAGTAAAATATTTAGTTCTTGAATATAACACACTTGGTAAGGCAATGAAAATCCGATGTTCGGTGAGAATCTTTATAGAATAATTGAATTAATAATTAAGTTTAAGTTGGTATATTCTAATTTGAGTGGGCAATAAAATCAAAGATTTAGGGATATGACTTAGTAAGTGATTCTTTTGTTTAGAAAGGTATATTACAATGTTGGTCATTGTCGATGAAAATATGAAAATATGGTCATAACATAAATGGTAATAATATGAGAGCAATGCTTATACAAATTTTCATGCATTGGGTTTTGTAAACGTCGACATTGTATCCGGAAATGTATCTTGCATTAATAAATTCAAGAGATGTAATATCAGTCATTTTGCAAAATCATTCGGACTTTTATAAGTTTGAGTTAATTTTGCTCATATTAGATAATTATGTTAACAACAAATATATCAAGCAAATTAACTTGGGCACGTTCTATAGTTTAACATTTTCGTTATTTCGTTATTTTTATTAATACACTAGCCGTAAATTCATACTAGAACACAGACACTTGGCGGCCATTTTATCAACATTCTACGACACGTTGTTCAACTGCCCCAGGAACTTAGAATGTTTTACCCCCTTTGGCAATCGTTCGTTAAAAAATATTTTTGAGAATAAATAAGTCAAGTTTTGTGAAGAATTATGTAGTAAAACATGCTAGTCTACAGTTTGTGAAAGCCTTTAGAGTTGTGGTTTTTTAAACATTTTGAAAAGTTTTAAAATAAGAATATTCCACTAAATAAATACTCATTACAAGACCTTTAACTTGGCCTACCAATATTTTGACCAAAATGGCGGGTCCTTTGGAAGAACAAAACGACCAGATAACACACAAAAAAAAAACAACATCAAAACAAAAAATGCGCGTCGCTGTTTAGCAATTTGACATTTAACTGGCCCCTCATGCAAGGCCCTGTAATTGATATACAAACATGATGCTAAGAACTGGATACTGTTAATTGATCGGGTACATGCAGGGGTACTACGAAGTCAAGTGATATGTTATCTTATATTACATTAATTGATATCGACGTTGCTTCGGACGTATTACCGATAATATATATTTATGTGAATATACAAAATATAACATCGGAATTTTAAATTTAACTGCTGTTCACATACAAGTATTTTAATACAAAAAAATAAAATATTAAGATATCATGACATGTGACACAGTTCCATCGGAACCAAATCAACCAAAATTATAGGAGGCATACGGGTATTAAAATATTGACTCGATTTGAGATGATAAATATAAAGGTCAATAAAATAAGATGAATTATACGAAGAAAACGGCTGCTCTACTGTAGTGTTAATAACCGGTTATCCAGAGACCCGTGGTTTGATTCCCGACTGAAGTATGCCGATTTTTCGTGTGATTTGTCAGTATATAATTTCGCGCTCATGACTTTCTTTCTTTCATTTATATTCATAATGGGCGGTAGTGGCCTTATTGAATAATATATCAGTGCTTGCCATAAGATATTTATCAGAAAAAACTGTGAGTGTGACTATGTCCGCAAACAGCGATCATAGTAGCTATAAATAGTCGCCGCAATTATATTTCAAAAATGAACAAAGAGGTTCATGGGTATTAATTATTGATTCGATTGAATATTCAAGGTTGGCAAATAGTTTGGTGAGTCTCATATGATTATATAAAAACTAAAGAAAGGTCCAGAAATAAAACTGAACGTAAACAATAATCATATTTTATCTGTTAGAATCACAAATGTTTTGGGGCTTTTATGTACACAAATACAAATCCGTTCAAGAAAGGAACACCATAAATTCAAAACCATGATAACATGCATAATAAGATGTCTAAATTGTTAACAATGTAGCACATTTAATCTTTCAATTTTGCTTTATAATCATATATGCGTTTCCAAAAGCTGTAAGTAATTTAATCTTGAACAGAGCTTTACAATTATATAAGATAGGAAACTACGAATCTACACATGACAGTGTGTTTTATTTGGAGGTATGATGCGTAGGAATAGACCACGAAGGCTGTAGGCCTGAGTGGTTAATTTTTTCGTATCAAAACGACAAAACCGGTGTTAATTAGCCGATAAACACCTCTCAGACCGATATTATTTCCAATCTTACAAGATAAAATAAGGAAGATCACTAATGTTATTTTTTCAAGCGGAAATAACTTCCGGTGTCGATTTTCGTATAGACCTTTTTACGACGCAGTCCGTTGCTCTGAAACATAGGCCGGATGTAGTATTTCCCCGCACATGCGCAATCTGCGTAGGGCAAAAAAGCCTAGTCTAACATAGAAATATAGAAGAAGTTCATAGACAATTCAGAGTTAGTTTAAGGTAAAAGGTAGAAAATTATATAAAATAGCTTTAAAAAAAAAATAGAAAAAATCCCTTTATAGCTTCGTTGCAAAGATTGCCATAAAAAGGCATGGAAAAGGAAATTGTTTAAGAATTCCCCCTTACGGTGTGCCCGTTTACGGCGTGGACCCGACATCTTTTATTTAAATGAGAGTCAACTAAAATGTTTTTGAAATAGTTCATGAAAAAAGATAAAAGGAATTTTATAACATATGAAATCGAGGTTAATTAGCATTCTGAAAATAGTCAGAACAGGCCCGGTGATAATGCATTTTTAGTGTTCAGTTTACCTGGTTTCATCCTTTATTTGACTGTGATGCAAAACAGATAATTTTTAAGTCACATAAATATATTTAAATAGTTAATGTTTTTTTTTTTCAAAACACTCATTTTATCTGGTTCCTCGTAACACATGTTATTATTTTTTTAATGCAAGTCACACTAATTGTCACTTCACAAATCAATAAACATTGTATATAAAAGTATTAAATTTTTTATTATAATATGAAAAAGTTACTTAAATTAAGATTTTCATAATTGCACGTGATTTACTATGTCATGGTTCTTAAACGTCCCGGCCGAATGATATTTATACAATATCTAGCTGGAAACAAACAACCACGGTCGCGTGTCAATCTGTTTGACACAAACCGCCTGGCCAATCGAAAGGAAGAGAACAATACACATTGTGTAATATAATGTTATACAGGGGTAATAAAATTTAATCTTTAACACCCTGCGGTTTAAATTTAAATTACGGATGAAAAAGTCGTCTAATGATACCTTAAACAGACGTCTTTTGTATGCGGCTTTTGATCATTGGATCAATAGTCCTGCATATTTATTATATCTGTTATAAATATCAATTGACGTTTTAAGACTTACCGCTTTAAGTCATCCCAAAATAACTGTTTTCTGGTTTATATAACATGGAATCAGGACTATTTAAGCCTTACAGTATCATACACTGTTGTCATTTTTATTGCGTTTTTGCCCTACACAGAATGCGCATGCGCGAAATGCAACATAGGTTGCTATGGAAGAATCGTATTGTCAAAAGGTCTATAACGCTGTTTGATTTCGCACCCTACTGTTGCTAAGATATAGAAATTATTAAACAACAGAAATAATAAAAAAATATTTTAATTATAATTTAATTTTAAGTTATTTTATCAAGTTTTTAACAATAAAAACTTACGCCTAAGAATGGATTGTATTGTGTTTATAGTGCCCAATTTATCATTCTTGTATGTTTGAAATGACGTCAGCGTTTATGAATGAGTAGTATTCTGACGATTACCACATTACGCTGCTTATGGATTGGCGCCGTTTTGTCAAAATAATAAATAATAATATAAACTGGTATGGATCAAATCTGTAGTGTTAGTGTCTGTGAGATATTGTTTCGGTATTGTATGATTAACATTATAAGAACTGAATAATATAAATAAAAATGTATTTTTATTATTGCTTCAAAAGGCTTTGTAAACTATATAATCGAGGGAGAAAACATAACAGCGGCATATACACGTAGTCGCTAACCAGTGTTTCACCGGTTTATTTCTTTATCTATAGTGACAAAATCACGAGGAATATTAGAATTGTTAACAATGTAGCACACATAATATCTCAGTTTTGCTTGATAATCATATATGCGTTTCCCACAGCTGTAAGTTATTTGATCTTGAACAGACCTTTACAATTCTTTAACATACGACTCTATTCATTGCAGTTATTTGTATTACATGCATGATCCTTCTTTTCAGTACATCATTCGGAAGCAGTACAAACAGGATCAGATACGCCGCAAAAAGATACACGTAAAGTGCTTTCCTTAATTATTATTGTTATAAAGATCTTAATACTTCACTGACAAATAATAACTCCAGCTTTAGCTGACCACGAGAATATATTGCATATACGTACTGAGGCTCCGTTAGGGAGAATATAAGCTTATTTTATACCACGTTTAAGTACTAAAGTACGACATTTTTGTGCTCTTCGAGTCGTCTGTACTATAAAATGATCTGAATTAAAATGAACGGTTTCTTTGAAAGTTTTGATCCAAAGTGAAGAATATCCCACATGATAATATGTCTCACTCCCGACCAAAAATGTTAAAACTTGATCATTATTAACATAACATTTTGTAATTTACGCTTACTATGTATAATGACTAACAACTAACATTGGACACTGCTAGTATTTCATTTGCACAGTCATATCACACTAACAATTGTCATTATTTCTAAAGTAAAATAATCTAAAGTTGTTCTTTGCCATTTAAATATGCATTTGTTCGAATTTGAATACTTAACCCGATGATTGTTTTCAAAATCAGGTTCGAATGTCTACCTTTTATAAAAGAAAAAGTTTCTTAATATCTTGATTGTATTCTTGTTGAAACTTTGACACGTAGCTTAGCATTTTAAATAAATCAATGGTTATATAGATATATGGATACAGAATGAAAACGATTTAACCAAAGATAAAATGTAATTGCTTCAAAAATAATAAACACAGCTATTTAAAATAAAAGAAAATCGTATCAATCAAGATTACGATCTCTCGTAACTTTAAGAGAGTCAGGAAGCATGGCTGCTTTTGTAAAAGACACTTCGAAAAGAATTAAAACAGACGAACGTAATAATTAAGTAGATGTATCAGAACTCATTGCAGAAATTGCCGAAGGAAGTTTAGCAAAATCAGAAACTGTCCAAATCATGTTAAGAGGAGAATATATCATTTGGTTCAAAACGGAATCAGAATATCCGGAATATAATAGTTCTGGTTTACTTAGATGAATAAATAAATGGTTTAGGTCTGAGCGGAGATATGAAAAAAGATATTTAGTTTTGAATATGACAGACTTTGTAGGGTAATGAATATCAAAAGTTTGGTTGGGTATCTTGATAAAAAATTGGAAATGGATAAGTCGGTATATTGCTATTTCGGTGGGCATTAAAATCAAAGATTCAGTTAGGGATATGACGGTTGAAGTCAGCAAGACTGTCAACAAATGTTTAGTTCGGTAAATAAAGTCTAAATATATGATATCAGTCATTTTAAGAAATCACTAGTACACATTTGCCTAAATATATATTCTGCTCATATTAGGATACGTTTACAATGCGAAATATATCATGCAAATTAATCTGGACACATCTGAGTAAAAACAAACATTTATTTTAATTTTATTAATACACTAGCCGTCAATCAAACTAGAACACAGAAATCTGGTATTAGGATGCACCTGCCTTTATCCTTCCCACCTTTGGCAAACGTTTGAAGAGAAATGTTCATAAGAATTGTCTAAGTGTGATTATAAGAGAAATAAAACATTAAAGTATAAATAGGGTAAAAGATTGATACGGCATTTGAAGAATTTAAGAAATAGAATCTTTTCTACCAAATTCATAACGACATATCGTAATCTACACCCCTTTTCATTCACATATTGTCAAACTAGGTATGTCTTTCTACGCACTCATAAGCATACGCTATCTAAAATCGTATTTATCGATCTTTCTAATTTCAAAAAAGATCCGCAATACATTCAGACGTGTACAGTATATAAAACATATTTTTTAAAATTGATTACATATGATTGATGCGGAAATGTTCAGACAAAATATAAAATTAATATAATTATGGAAATTATGAATGTTACAAAAAAACGAGATATAAGCTGGATAAAATATTTATATTTGCAATTACATGGAAATTTAAATTGGTAAATATTTTTCCAAACTAATAACAAGGTTTTCGGATATTAAATATTGACTCGATTGAATATTTAATGTTGGCAAATAGTTGCTTGAGTCTGGCATCATATATACATGTACTGATATAGCAATAAAATAGCTTACTCACAATAGCGAATCTACAGTTTCTGGGTGGATTCGAAGCAACTTCTTTCAGAGAAGCTCAACAACGGGAGTCGCTGTTAAGGCATGTACTGATAAAAAACTGAAATAAAACAGAACGTTAATAATACGTATATTTTTTACGGGGCCTTATATCTACCACTTATTTTCCATAACATTATAACATGTAAAATAAGATGTCTAATTTATTTACAGCTTTATATTCATAAATGCTTTTCCCTTTGTTAAAAGTCGTTTAATCATATTTGGACAGAGCCTAACAATTAGTAAATATAAGGCACAGTATTTTACCTTATATTGATTTTCATTGCATACATTTTGTTCTTTTCGGAAGCAGGCCAAATAGAACCTGATATCCTGCAAAAAGATAAAGGTAATTTGTAAATCATAATCATAAATATCTTAATATCTAAATGACAAATACAGAAATTCTGTTTATGGTGACAACGAGAATATATTGCATATACGTAGCAGGTTCAGAATTGGAGAGTTAAGCTTATTTTTCTAAACTTTTCGTAAAATATGAACCATTTTTTAATGCAATAGCATAACATTTTCGTACCCACCGAGAAAACATAAAGGTCTTCTTTACTCAATTAGCCAGTATAAGGTGATTTGAATTAATCTGAACGGTCTTTTTAAAATTGGATTCAAGTGTGAAGAATATCAAGTATGATTAAATTACTACTTCCCGACCAAACGATTTGTTAAATCGATCGTTGATTGACATGGTATTTTGCGTATATTTCATTTGCACGAGTTTATAACAGATTAATTTCTGTGAGTTCTAAAATGAAATCATCTAGAGCTTTTTACTGCAAAAACATGCATTTGTTGAATATTATGGTGGCCAGTTGCGTCCATTTCAAAACTGCGAGAAATTATATATTATCTCGATAACCATTGTTCGAAATAGAAAGGAACACTTTGACTTCGGTGGCCGGTAGCGTCCATGGTTTGAGTCTACATTTTATCTCTCGTTTTTCTATAAAAAGTCGATGAAATCCGCGATATTTTTTTTTGCAAGTGTTGTAGATATTCTACAAAAAGTCGAGAGGAAAAATAACAGGTCGCGTTTTTTTGTTCTCCAACAACAACTTTTCCATAAAAAGTCACGGCTGACATCTCCCGGCACAAAATGTCGAGACTGAATGCTCAAACTCGACTTTTAACAAGGCATGCATCATAACAAAATATCGCAGCTGCATTGGCCGCACTTGGCTACTAAAATAAGAAAATGTCTCGGTTTCCTGGACTTTATATAACAGAACTGTGACAGACTCGAGAGTTGCTTTAAGCCGCAACATTTTATACAATTTCGACAGATTTAATTTAAATCTCGCGGATTTAAAAGTTGCCCGCGACATTTTTTTAAATGACGGTTAAATTTCTCGCAGCTTTAAAATGGACGCTATCGGCCGCCATATGCTTCTAGATTTTTCAAACACAAGTTTGAAGGTCTAAATATTCATTTCAAAAAGAAATCATGAAATATAAAAAAGGCGACGTAAAAAAAAATTCAGTACTTTAACGGACATATGATGCTGCGCCCAAATCAAACTAAGACAAATGTACTGTGCCTTACCGTGAAAATTAAATACTCTTTTGTGAGTAGGGCTGTTGCTAATGTTGTTATAACTTGTAGCCAAACCACCCATTTGCAATATACTTATATGTACATTTGTCTTTTGTGTTATTTATATCTTACTTGTATTATAAAGTTGCAATAAAATAATATAAACTTAAACTATTTCTGAAATCGTTCGTTTTGCGTAAATGTAAATTTACGTGGGAAGATACACAACCTTTAAAAAAATGTGAAACTTTCGAACTAAGACCAATCCATATAACAAGTAATTTGTTTTTATTATTTGACACATAACTTGTCCCTACCCTCCTTTCGCCGCCCTTATGTCCAACCCGGTATTGGTTTGGTGCCTTCTGGTTGCCCTGCTGTGTTGGCTTGGATGTGTCGGTGGCTGCGTCCTGTGAACGTCGCCTTTGCCGCGTTGATCTTTATTCTCGTCTTTTTAAATTAATAGAAATAATTTATATTTTTTAAGTGCGTGCTATGAACCTTTCTGTCTCACTTAAGCACAAAGTTCTCAATGAGAGCTTTTGTCATCACACTTTGTTCGGCTTTCATCGTCTGTCAGTTTATTTATTCAAATGACTTTTCAGAAACCACTGGGTCAGATATTGATATTTTCCGAAATGTTCCTAGCATTAAGCTCTGTTCAATTATTTTGGCTCCAATAAACATCAGATGGGCTATTATAGTTTTGATACAATGTAATATTCAAGCAATCTTCTTTTCTAAAAGTACAAGGCAAAGGCTACAAAAATGTATGGTTGACTTTATTGTACACTTTTTATAATTGAGTATTTTATGACGGTTAATATTAATTTAACTACTCAGAAATAGCATGTAATCTCTATGTTTTTTATACATGTATCAATGTTTTCTTTCTTTTGAACAAAATTGTTTGAACATCCAGTTTCATGATTTGTGTGCTTTAATGGTTTATTATAACTGAAATAATGATAACTGACATAAAAGATGAGTGAGCAGTGATTATTTTGTTCCATTGTTTCATTATCCGATTATTGTGTTTTATCGTTTTATTTTCCTATCTTCATATTTATTTTTATTCAAGAAACATCTAGCTGGAAGCTATCGGGCACCGCTAAGAAAGGAAGACGACATACTATAGATATGGGGTTTGAAAAACCTGCATCACAGTACTCAAAAGCAAAAGGTATCAAAGATGACGCTGTCTTTCACAAATACATATAAAGCAATCTATGACTCATGTGTCTGTTTTTTTCATGTAATCAAAAGCAAACACTCTTGTTAAACTGTTAGCCGATTATTCTGTTCTTTTTTTATATTCCTATCTTCATTTTTATGTTAGTTCGAAAAACATCTAGCTTAAAGCCATTGAATCACGTTAAGAAAGTGAGGCGAAATATCATAGATATCGGGTTGGAAAAACCTGCATGACAACTCTCAAAAGCCAAAGGTAACATAGATGACGCTAAATTTTTTGTTAGACAAAAACTGCAGTAATTGTCATGTCTGTATCCTTCTGTAAGATATACATGTCATTTATTTAATAATATTTGTCTTCGCTTCTTGTGCCCAAAAAGTGATGAGTGTTAGATAGCATTTAGTGTGTGAGTATTAACACAAAGTATTACTGTAAATTCTCTCTAACAATACCTCTTTGGAGTCATGATAGAAGGGGTTTTATTATTTAGCCGGTCTTAATTTCGAAATATATGCTAGTTTTCACTATGTATGCACTACCTCCCGAACCATGGGTCCATTCTTTTGAATTTTCTGAAACAGTTCTCAGATAATGATGTTAATTCTTTCTTTGGAAACAATATTTTCCCGAACCGGAAAAAGCGGTCGTAATAACGAATTTCCTGCAATTAGGGGTCGGTCGTAAAGCGGGAATTTACTTAATAATGTTTGATATAAGCTTAATTATGGTGTTCGTTGGTTGAACTAAATTTTGTCGCTTAAAGTCATGCCAAATTACTATTCATGAGGTGTCATTGAAATTGAAATTTTATCAGCCTGATAGTATGAGTGTAGAAAAAGGCATATGGCTCAATTAACTCATAAACACGGCTTGTAAATTAGTGTAACGGTGCATGAGACACTAGCCAACACCTTTGCCGATTATGTTATATATGCTTTATTATTGTTATATATTCTATATTATATTTCATATAATAATAATCAGCAAATTACGTCTAGAGGATATTGAATAAGTGTAGTTTTGATACTAAGTTTATTGAACGACTTGAATAAAATTATATTATGCGAGCTTCTGGCGAGCATAATATATTGTTTTATTCAAGTCGTTCAATACATTTAGTATTGCATCTAAATTAATATAATGTTTTATTTATCACATATCTAAAATAAGAGCGGTTTACTGTAAAAAAGAGTTATTTTAATTGACACGCCTAAAGTGTAACGCTAACATTAGCGCACTTTTACCCTATGTTGTATATAACGCAAATGACGTCTCGTCAATGTGTTATTATACTATTGTTATATCGTTATTATTAAATGACTTTATTACAGTCCTGCGTCACGGTTTATGTGATAAATTAAATATATAAATTATTTCTTTTAAATAATCGGCAAAGTGTTGGCTAACGTTACATGCACCGGTGCTGTATACATATGAAGAGTGTAAAAATATGCAAGTTGTAGATTATATAAAGGTTGCGGACGCAAGAGTATCATGAGATATAAGTAAAACGTAGATTTAAAATACACATTTGTGTAATTCATATATATATATATATATATATATATATATATATATATATATATATATATCAACATGTTATTATAGCAAAACAAAAGACTTGGAAATGGCTATGTTAAATTATTACATACATATTTTCATACATTATTAGAAATAATACAGAATATGATAAACAATGTCATCAAGAAAGGCGGTGTTCAATGGACGCAACCCCCACACGGCCCAGCAACAAGAATCAGTGGCAAGGAGTCCAGGCGGACCCCAAAACACGGTTTAAGCTACAGCCATATAAGAAAATGAACTTTGAGCAAAATAAACTTATATTTTAAGAAAAGTATTAATATGCCCAATTCAAATGATGATTTACATGTTACAAGCAATGAATGACTCATTATGCCCCCGCCATGTAATGGCCGGGGCATATAGTGTTACCCTGTTCCGTCCTTCCGTCCTTCCGTCATTCCGTCCTTCCGTCCTTCTGTCCTTCCGTCATTCCGTCATTCTGTCATTCCGTCATCATCAGTTTCCGTTCATTATCTTAGTAACGGTTGCACATATTCAACTCAAATTTGACATATTGATATGTCATGAGTAAATACAGGTCAAGTTCGAATTTGGTCATGGTTCGATGATTTTTGGCAGAGTTATTCCCCTTTTACTTTGAAAATAATATGAAATTTTCAGTTTCCGTTCATTATCTCCCCAACGGTACATCACATTCAACTTAAATTTGACATATGGATATGTCATGAGAAAATACAGGTCAAGTTCGAATTTGGTCATGGTTCAATGATTTTTGGCAGAGTTATGCCCCTTTTACTTTGAAAATAATATGAAATTTTCAGTTTTCCGTTCATTATCTCCCCAACGGTACAACACATTCAACTCAAATTTGACTTATATATATGTCATGAGAAAATACAGGTCAAGTTCGAATTTGGTCATGGTTCGATGATTTTTGGCAGAGTTATGCTCCTTTTACTTTGAAAATAATATGAAATTTTCAGTTTCTGTTAATTATCTCCCCAACAGTACAACACATTCAACTCAAATTTGATTTCTTAATATGGATATGTTTTTGGAATGCCCAAGCCAAGTTTGAATTTGGTCATGGTTCAATGATTTTTGGCAGAGTAATGCCCCTTTCACTTTGAAAACAATATGAAATTTACAGTTTCTGTTCATTATCTACCCAACAGTGTTACATATTTAACTCAAATTTGACATATGGATATGTCAAAGGAATGGGCAGGTCAAGTTGGAATTTGGTCATGGTTCGATGATTTTTTGGCAGAGTTATGTCCCTTTCACTTTGAAAATAATATAGATACATCTTCGGAATAAGCAGTTTAAGTTTGAATTTGGTCGTGGTTCAATGATTTTGGACAAACTTATCTTTCTTGAATATTGGAAAAATTTTGAACTTTCAGTTTCAGCACTCATACTTTTGTGGAAATGTAATTGTAGCCATTATTTTGGCTACAAATATGAAATATGCTATTTTCAAAAGGTTAAGACTGAATAATTTCAGTGCCTTGAACATTGTATGAAAATGGTTTGTGTTAACATTGAAAAGTTTTAAGGGCTTTGAACTTAAAATGAAAACAATAATTTGTGCAAACAAATTTGGAACTAAATATTATAACATCTGAAATTTTGGCTGCATGCGGGGGCATCCGTGGCATGATGACACATTTCTAGTTATATATCACCATATTCCTACTGCAAGACTGACTTTTCCCAAAATATGGACCACGTTTTAGTATTCTATCACGACATTTTGTACCCATCGAGGAATTATTAAGGTCGTGTTTACTAAATTACCTACTATAAGATACTTTGAATTAATGTGAATGGTCTGTTTAAAATTGGGTTAAAATGTGAAGAATATCTAATATGATTAAATAACTACTTCCTGACCAAATGATTTTTTTAGATCGATCGCTGATTGACATGGTATTTTGTTAACTTTCTAATCATGCTACTAGTAATTCTAATCAAACACCTAATACCAGAGACTTGTATATTTCATTTACACGAATTTATAACAAATTAATCTCTGTGAGTTCTAAAATGATATCATATAAAGCTGCCAAAATATACATTTGTTCAATAATTATAAACCTTTTCGCATGATGCACCTAGATTTTTCAACACATGTTCGAACGGTTACTTTTCAAAAAAAATCTTGTAATATGACAAAAAGGCGACGCAAAAAATAAAATTCATTGCTTTAATGGACGAATGATGCTACGCTCATATCAAACAAGGACAAAGTTGTACTGTGCCTTACCGTGAAAATAATAGTAATCCTGAAATCAATCGTTTTGCGTAAATAAAAATTTGCGTGGGAAGATACGAAAACTTAAGAAATGCGAAACCTTCGAACTTAAACAAATCCATATAAGTATTTTTTATTCCACACATAACTTTTCTCTCTCCTCCTTTCGCCGACCTTATGTCTATCCTAGATTTGGTTTGGTGCCCTGCTGTGATGGCTTGGATATGTCGGTGGCTGCGTCCTAAGAACGTGCTATGAACCTTTCCGTCTCACTTAAGCACAAAGTTCTTAATGTGAGCTTATATCATCACACTTGTCCGGCTTCCATCGTCTGTCAGAGCGTCCGTACGTCATTGCGTTCAAGCGTTATTATGTCCTTACGTCTTTCCTTAACTTTTTTTCAAATGACTTTTCAGAAACCACTGTGTCAAATATTGAAATTTTCCGGAATGTTCCAATCATGAAGCTCTACTTAAACTGTTGAAATATTTTTCTCCATTAAACTTCAGAAGGGCTAAGAATAGTTTTGTAATAATGTACTCTTCAAAAAAATTTCTTTTCTAACAGTGCAAGGCCTTTGGTTAGATATATTGCGCGTTGCATCACCTAATGCGACTACACAAAGAGTTTTTCAATTATAGTCCTTAGGGCAAAATTGGCCCCGCTCCAGTAGGTCATGGCTTTTCCTTATAAAGAAAATACTTCCATAATTTTCTTGAAAGTTAAGATGTTTTTAAAACACGTGTAGCAGTACAAATGTACAGTAAGTACTAGACATTCAAAAAGTTTTTACTAGTCACTCAGTAGAGTATTTGTCAATTCAGAAAAAAATTGTGGTTGACTTTATCGTACAATTTTTATAATAGAGTATTTTATGATGGAACAACATAATAATAACTACGTAATTTATATGTTTTTCTTTTCTTGATATTCATGTTTTTCCATTTTTGCACAAAATTGTTTGAGCATTCAGTTTTTATGAGTTGTGTACTGTAATGGTTTTTTATGACTTTAATGATTGACATGAAAGATAATTGAACAATGATAATTTTGTTCCATTGTTTTATAACCCGATTTTTCTGTTTTATTTTTTTATTCTCCTATCTTCATTTTTATTTTAGTTAAAGAAACATCTAGCTTGGAGATATTGGGACCCTCTAAGAAAGGTTTGCGGCATACTATAGATATGGGAAAACCTGCATCACAACACTCAAAAGCAAAAGGTATCAAAGATGGCGCTGTCTTTCACAAAATACATATAAAGCAATGCATGTCTCATATGTAATCAAAAGCAAACACTCTTGTTAAACTGGTAGCCGATTATTCTGTTCTTTTTTATATTCCTATCTTCATTTTTATGTTAGTTCGAAAAACATCTAGCTTAAAGCCATTGAATCACGTTAAGAAAGTGAGGCAAAATATCATAGATATCGGGTTGGAAAAACCTGCATTACAACTCTCAAAAGCCAAAGGTAACATAGATGACGCTAAATTTTTTGTTAGACAAAAACTGCAGTAATTGTCATGTCTGTATCCTTCTGTAAGATATACATGTCATTTATTTAATAATATTTGTTTTCGCTTCTTGTGCCCAAAAAGTGATGAGTGTTAGATAGCATTTAGTGTGTGAGTATTAACACAAAGTATTACTGTAAATTCTCTCTATCAATACCTCTTTGGAGTCATGATAGAAGGGGTTTATTATTTAGCCGGTCTTAATTTCGAAATATATGCTAGTTTTCACTATGTATGCACTACCTCCCGAACCATGGGTCCATTCTTTTGAATTTCTGAAACAGTTCTCAGATAATGATGTTAATTCTTTCTTTGGAAACATATTTTTCCCGAACGGAAAAAGCGGTCGTAATAACGAATTTCCTGGCAATTAGGGGTCGGTCGTTAAAGCGGGAATTTACTTAATAATGTTTGATATAAGCTTAATTATGGTGTTTCGTTGGTTGAACTAAATTTTTTCGCTTAAAGTCATGCCAAATTACTATTCATGAGGTGTCATTGAAATTGAATTTTATCAGCCTGAATAAGTATGAGTTAGAAAAAGGCATATGGCTCATTAAACTCATAAAACACGGCTTGTAAATTAGTGTAACGGTGCATGAGACACTAGCCAACACCTTTGCCGATTATGTTATATATGCTTTATTATTGTTATATATTCTATATTATATTCATATAATAATAATACAGCAAATTACGTCTAGAGGATATTGAATAAGTGTAGTTTTGATTACTAAGTTTATTGAACGACTTGAATAAAATTTATAGTATGCGAGCTTCTTGAGCGAGCATAATATATTGTTTTTATTCAAGTCGTTCAATACATTTAGTATTGCATCTAAATTAATATAATGTTTTATTTATCACATATCTAAAATAAGAGCGGTTTACTGTAAAAAAAGTTTATTTAATTGACACGCCTAAAGTGTAACGCTAACATTAGCGCACTTTTACCCTATGTTGAGTATAACGCAAATGACGTCTCGTCAATGTGTTATTATACTAGTGTTATTATCGTTATTATTAAATGATTTATTACAGTTCCTGCGTCACGTTATGTGAAAATTAAATAAATAAATTATTTCTTTTAAATAATCGGCAAAAGTGTTGGCTAACGTTACATGCACCGGTGCTGTATACATATGAAGAGTGTAAAAATATGCAAGTTGTAGATTATAATATAAGGTTGCGGACCGCAAGAGTATCATGAGATATAAGTAAAACATAGATTTTAAAATACACATTTGTGCAATTCATATATATATATATATATATATATATATATATATATATATATATATATATTATATATATATAAATATATATATATATAATATAATATATATATATATATATATATATTATATATATTATATATATCAACATGTTATATTAGCAAAACAAAAGACTTTGGAAATGGCTATTTTTAAATATTACATACATATTTTCATACAATTATTAGAAATAATACAGAATATGATAAAACAATGTCATCAAGAAAGGTTGTTCAATGAACGCAACCCCCACACGGCCCAGCAACAAGAACCAGTGGCAAGGAGTCCATGCGGACCCCAAAACATGATTTAAGCTACAGCCATATTAGAAAATGAACTTTGAGCAAAATGAACTTAGATTTTGAGAAAAGTAGAAATATGCACAATTCAAATGATGATTTACATGTTACAAGCAATGAATGACTAATTTTAAAGTATATATCACCATATTCCTACAGCAAGACTGACTTTTCCCAAAATATGGACCACGTTTTAGTATTCTATCACGACATTTTGTACCCATCGAGAAAACATTAAGGTCGTCTTTACTAAATTACCTAATATAAGATTATTTGAATTAATGTGAATGGTCTTTTTAAAATTGGGTTAAAATGTGAAGAATATCTAATATGATTAAATAACTACTTCCTGACCAAATGATTTTTTTAGATCCATCGCTTATTGACATGGTATTTTGTTATCTTTCTAATCATACTACTAGTAATTCTAATCAAACACCTAATACCAGAGACTTGTATATTTCATTCACACGAATTTATAACAAATTAATCTCTGTGAGTTCTAAAATGAAATCGTCTAAAGCTGCCAAAATATGCATTTGAACTTTTTCGCATGATGCTCCTAGATTTTTCAACACATGTTCGAACGGTTACTTTTCAAAAATAAAAATCATGCATAATGACAAAAAGGCGACGCAAAAAATGAAATTCATTGCTTTAACGGACGAATGATGCTACGCTCATATCAAACAACGACAAAGTTGTACTGTGCCTTACCGTGAAAATAATAGTAATCCTGAAATCAATCGTTTTGTGTAAATAAAAATTTGCGTAGGAAGATACGAACACTTAAGAAATTCGAAACTTTCGAACTTAAACCAATCCATATAAGTATTTTTTATTCCACACATAACTTCTCTCTCTCCTCCTTCGCCTACCTTATGTCTATCCCAGTTTTGGTTTGGTGCCCTGCTGTGATGGCTTGGATGTGTCGGTGGCTGCGTCCTAATAACGTGCTATGAACCTTTCCGTCTCACTCAAGCACAAGTACTTAATGTGAGCTTATATCATCACACTTGTCCGGCTTCCATCTTCTGTCAGAGCGTCCGTACGTCATTGCGTTCAAGCGTTATTGTGTCCTTACGTCTTTCCTTAACTTTTTTTCAAATGACTTTTCAGAAACCACTGTGTCAAATATTGAAATGTTCCGGAATGTTCCAAGCATGAAGCTCTACTTAAACTGTTGAAATATTTTTCTCCATTAAACGTCAGAAGGGCTAAGAATAGTTTTGTAATAATGTACTCTTTAAATAATCTTCTTTTCTAAAAGTGCAAGGCCTTGGGTTAGATATTTTGCGCGTTGCATCACCTAATGCGACTAATCGGACTAAAATAATAATAACTACGTAATTTATATGTTTTTCTTTTCTTGATATTCATGTTTTTCCATTTTTGCACAAAATTGTTTGAGCATTCAGTTTTTATGAGTTGTGTACTGTAATGTTTTTTTACGACTGTAATGATTGACATGAAAGATAATTGAACAATAATAATTTTGTTCCATTGTTTTATAACCCGATTTTTCTGTTTTATTTTTTTTATTCTCCTATCTAGAAACATCTAGCTTGGAGATATTGGGACCCTCTAAGAAAGGTTTGCGGCATACCATAGATATGGGGTTTGAAAAACCTGCATCACAGTACTCAAAAGCAAAAGGTATCAAAGATGACGCTGTCTTTCACAAAATACATATAAAGCAATCTATGTCTCATGCGTCTGTTCTTTTTATGTAATCAAAAGCAAACACTCTTGTTAAACTGTTAGCCGATTATACTGTTTATTGTTTTATATTCCTATCTTCATTTTTATTTTAGATCGAGAAACATCTAGCTTAAAGCTATTTGGTCACATACAGAAAGAGAGGCGACATATAATAGATATAGGGTTCGGAAAACCCAAACCTGCATTACAGCACACAAAAGGCAAAGGTATCATAGTTGACGCTAACTTTTTTGTTAAACAAATACTGCAGTAATTGTTCTGTCTGTCTCCTTCTGTAAGGCATACATGCTATTTATTTGAATACTATTTGTGTTCACTAAGTCTGCTCAAGAAGTGATGAGCGTTTCGTTAGATAGCATTTAATTTGTGAGTATTAATACAAAGTATTACAGTAATATCTCGTTATCAATACCACTTTGGAGCCATAATAGAAGTGGTTTTATTATGAAGTCCGTCTGAATTTCGAAATCCATGCTAGTTTTTACTATATATGCACCTGAACCATGAATCTGCTGACACGAACATCATTCATTCCATGACAATGATGTTAAGTTCTTTCACTGGCGATCTCTTGCATTAGCATTTCTTTGGAAACAATATTTTCCCGGACCGGAAAAAAGCGGTCGTAATAATGATTTGCCTGCAGTAAGGCGAGAGTTTACAGCGAGAGTAACACCTTTGCCGATTATGTTATATATACTATAATTTATCTTCATATAAAAATAATCAAAGAATAATCAGCAAAGTATATCTAAAGGATATTGGTTGAGTGTAGTTTTGATACAAAATTTATTGAACGACGTGAATGAAATTATAATATGCGAGCCTCTGTCGAGCATAATATTGTTTTATTTAACTTGTTCAATAAATCTAGCATTGCATGTAAATGAATATAATGTGTATTTATCACATATCTAAAATAAGAACGGTAAACTGTAAAAGGAGTCATTTTTAATTGACGCGCCTAAAGTATAACGCTAACATAAACGCACTTTTACAATATATGTTGTACAGTGTATATAGCGCTAATGACATCACGTTAAAGTCTTATTACACTAGTGTTATATCGGTATTATTAAATGGCTTTATTACAGTCCTGCGTCACGGTTTATGTGATAATAAAATATATATTTGTTTTTCTTTTAAATAATCGGCAAGTGTCGGCTAGCGTTACATGCACCTGTGCTGTATACAAATGAAGAGTGTAAAAAATAATAAAAAGGTGTGATGGCGGACATAAGAGTACCTGGAGATATAAAACATAGATTTACAATAAATATTTAAATTGTTGTTTCGATTATTCGCTGTGCAATTCACATAAATCAACATGATATAGCAAAATGAAGGACTTGGAAATGGCTATGTTAAAATTATTACATACATATTTTTCATACAAGATATGAAATAATACAAAGCTTGTCAACGGATGTGTTTAAGCTACAAGAAAATTAACTTTGAGAAAAATGTACTAAGATTTTAAGGAAAGTAAACTATGTTCAATTCAAGTAATGATTTACATGTTACAAGCAATGAATGACTAATTTTGAAGTATTTATGATCTTATACCTACTGCAAGACTAACTTGCTCTTTAATTGGTAATTTAAGTGGAGTGTAAATAACTTTATTTTTTATCTTGACAGGTACAATGGCGGACACAAGAGTATCAGCAGATATAAGTGAGACATAGATTATTATTAATTTTGTGATACGCTGATTCGATGTAAAATTCATATATCAAAATGTAATACAAAGGAAATGTATGTATTTTAATGCCTTGGCATATAGCGATTCACCTGTTAAGGAACTTATAAATCGTCTTGTGGAAGACCACTTCTCTAATTTAAACCAAACCTGGCAGGATTGATCCTTATGTAAAGGGCTTTCACAGTTGTTCAAAGAATTTGATTCTATGCCAGAATCTGGTTGCCATGGCAACCAAAAGGAATTATAAAAAATAAATTTTAATTTTTTTGTAAAGACCACGAGGCCTAGAACGAAGATATTTTGCATAAGGCATTGTCTGGTAGACTTCTAAAATTGGCCCTGCCCCATGGGTCATTTATTGTCACTAAGTAAATAGTAAAAAGTTAAAAATCTTCTTGATTGGTACAAGGTTAAGGCTTTGTTGTTTGATATATAATATCATCTATAGGTCCTCTACCGAAATTGTTAAAAAAAGTGTCAGAATAAGCCCTGTCCGGGGGTCAAAGGTTTTCCTATATGTAAATAGTTAAAACTAGAGGTTAAATATTTTACATGAATTGCGTAGTGGACCGCTTCCAAAATTGTTCAAGTTTATATCTTCTCTTTTCATTATGTACATATAGTAAAACAATAACTAAAACAAATGTTTTTTGAAAAGGAGAAAGCTCAGATATTTCTCAAGGAACATTGCAGGTGGACATTCATCAAGATATTTTGAATTAAACCCTTGGGTCAAAATTTATCCCTGCCCAAGAGGAAGTAACCTACTTTCTTAATTTGATGTGAAGCCATGAAATTTTGACCATGTGCACAGCTTGAGATGTGAAATAAAATTTAAGTATCAGCTGACTTAGATTTTGACAAGTGACATACTTTTTGGTCCTCATGTGCAGCTATGACATTTGGACCACGTGCACAGTTTTATATGTTAAATTGAATTTCGATATCAGCTGATCTAGAATTTGATGATGTGACCTACTTTCTTGTCCTTTGATGTACAGCTATGAAATTTGGACCATGTGCACAGTTTCAGATGTAAAATTGAACTTTGATATTAGCTGACATAGATTTTGATGATGTGACATACTTTCTTGTCCTTTGGTGTACAGCTATGAAATTTGGACCATGTGCACAAATTAAGATATAAATTGAGCTTTGATATCAGCTGATCTAGATTTTGTTGAAGTGACTTTCTGTCTTGTCTTTTGATGTACAGTAAAAATAGGCCATATGGAATATTACCTTGGCCGCCAAATTCACTAGACATAAATGCATTATGGCAAAGTTGAAGTATGTATATATAAACAAAGAAATCTTCTGTTCCTACACTACTATTTAGTGTTGCATTAAAGCGGTGGCGTAGCATTTTTCACAAATGCAATCTTGTTTCATACATTATTAGATATAATACGAAGCTTGTCAACGGATGTATTTTAGCTGCATGTCTCCAGATGAGCCAAATATTCAAGAAAATGAACTTTGAGAGGAATGTACTAAGATTTTAAGTGGAACAATAGGCACAATTCAAGTAATGAATTACATGTTACATGTAATGAATAACTAATTCTGAAGTTTTCATCACCATATTTCTACTGCAAGTCTGCCTTACCCTTAACTGGTAATTTACGTGGAGAGATTGTGGCGTTTGCAATGTGTAAATAATTTTATTCTTTCCCTTGACATTATTTTAAATTCAGTACATCGACAACATTTATCTTGAAAATTAACATAAATCTGAAGGCATGCCGCTTAAAAATGTTCATCATTTGGTATTTTTCCTATTGCTTCCATCTTTTGGAGCAATGCTCAATGACAAAATAGCCAATAAAGTGTGTCAAATTGCATCAGAGATCCCAATGCTATTTGCTTCTATATCATGACATTATTGTTTAATCTTTCATTAATTTCAAATATTGTATTTCAGTTACACAGCACAGAATGAAAAATATCTTAACCTTTATTTATGTAAATATTCATGGTTTTAAATATTTCATGCAAGGTGTTGATGTGATGATTAAACAATTTGATTGCAAACATATCGGTTACTTATCACAAGAAAGGAAATTTTTGGCTATCAATAAATGTAAGTTAAACAATATCATTCTTTGATTTTCAAATATTACCCTACCAGACAATTAAGACTTTAATTAGATATGACAAATTGTCAAAGAAGTAGAATAAAGAAAAAGATACTTGAATATTCAGTATAGTTGCCAAATTTGTAACTGTTTACATTCAAACTTCTGAAAATGACCAAAACTATCATTTGCTTGAATATCTAATTTTCGCTGTGTTTATCATCTTATCATTAACACATTTATATCTCATAAGCAAGAAAGATTTTATTCGAAATAATATTGCGTAACCCTATGTCTAATTATTTAATCAGAGTTACTTTTATTTATTGAATGTGACGAAAAACAATCAATTAAGCAATTATAGGAGATATGAAGGCAAGCTAAGTGTAATTTTTACACCTTCGCAGATCAAACGTTTTACCCATTAATCAAGCGAAATAACACATCAGTTTGGTGTATGTTTACACCTGCAAGATGTGCGATTATTTGTTATTTTGAATGAAGGTGTAACATTTGACAAAATCTGTTCGGATTTTAGAGTAAAATAAGAACAAAAATTGAAAAAATCGTCCGGAATTCGGAGTAGACAGGTTCCGGATCTGAAAGGTTTTTTACTATTGAAAATAGAACGAATAAAATCGGGACCGGACACTTCGTTCGGAAAAGAAAGGATTCAGGATTGGAAGGGTTGGGATTAGCAGGGCTACACTGTATGTCCTAATGACCAATTGTAAGCTAAGGAACTTTTTAAGACTATTTCTAAGCACTGTAACGGTAATAGCCAAAAGTATTTTAAACTTATTATTTGCACTGTGTTTGACAGGGAATATGAAATTTTTCATCATCTCAAAAGGAACTAGACACGACAGTGTATGGAACATTCATTGCTTTGATGATAGTTCAGCAAGAAAGCAAGTGTGGTCAATATCGATGCTGGAAGTAGAACGGTAAAAGATCATAGTCAATAGCTTATGTACCATTTAATCTTTTTATCATATGGCGTTGATCAATATAAACATAGAGATAGTCTGAGAGTTTGAAACGGTAAATATGTAAATCTTGCACATTCACAAAAGGCGACAAAAATAAATATTTCACATGCTATGCTTGGTTTGGTTGAGATTATTAAGAATGGTAGTGGTAATCCAAGCCCAGCGCATGTTAAGATTAAAAAAAAATAACAGGTTTTTATGCTTATTTGCTTTTTTTTTAAATTAACTACATGCTAGGCACCTTAGAAGAACCATCGACTTCCTGTAAGTTTGCTTGACAGGAAGTATCAACACACAATGCTATACACCCCCTTTTTATTTACAGCAGCTCTCTTTTTAATTCTTGAAAAAGATTAATCAAAAGAATACTTACTTCAAATTGTAGTGACCCAGAGAGCATCCAGTGTCGTGAATAAGTTGCTAGTGGACATGCATAAGATTGTATACTGGGAATCTCAATCAAATCAAATCTTCATTTTCAGTGTTTCATTGCTTCCGAATATTCTTCCATTCTCTGGTTATTTTTTTCAATTTCGCCATGTAGATAAAATATCATCGTATACAACATTCAAATTTTGTTAATATCTCAGAAGACATTTTTAGGATTCAGTTTATGTTATTATTATAAACAAAATATTTACATGCATTTAATATCATAATAAATTTCAACCATTTGCTTATAATGTGTTTTTCAGCATCCTGGAATTCAACAAGGGCATAGTGGGGATAAGAATCATATTAAGTGATCACAAGACACCGGCGCTGATACTAAAATGTGATACTGCAAAGAGTAGAGAGGTATGGTATGTTTTGTAGGAAGTTATCTGTTTTGTGCGTCTCGAAACCAAGTTTTACTTTGATAATAATTTTGCTTCGTTCTATAAAAAGGGTATATTTGCTTCTCTTTTCTACTTTTTTCCAAAATTTTATATGCCAATATTAACCATTTTCTTTTGATTTATGAGTGAAATGAAATACGGTATACAATGTATGTTGACAAAAAATAATGGCCAAGTCCGTTATATTTTTATTTCCTTTAAGACAAATGTTTGCAGAGAAGAATTTTCGGAAACCGATATTGACGGGATAAGTTTCCCTCTGAACATATGACAAACTTATTTCTATGTTTTGTTTGACAACACTTTGAAAGTTATACATCAACTTCCCAGCTTTACTGGTGACTGAATATCCCAGCCTCCTCTTCATGTTTTATTCTAAAAAAGGGGGAACTGAGTGGAACCATATACCCTCCGTAAGGTAGCTGGTTAACTTCTTCACATACAAAATCAATAGTCGGGATTCAAGGACAAGCGATTTGAATAATTTGCAAAATCTGGATGGTGAAAGTTATTAAAATAATATTTTGATGCCAATCTTATGCTTTTGTGAGGATTACTGATCTATCCGTGAAAATTATATATAATAGTTTTACATGAGAAATGATTAAAATATTATTTTCACAGTTTTCAATGACGAGAAAATTTAAAGAAATCATCATATTGTACTTATAATGCAGATACAATAAGGCCTTTTTAGAGTGAAACAAATCTGAGATTGATTAATAACTGAATCGAAAAGATAAACTTATATTAATTCATTCAATGTTTCGGTTAACAGATGTCGTCATTTTAACATGTTGTTATATTCATGACAGTGTGATAATTACACTTCCTTCTACATGCAAATCTGCCTCTATTGGCATGTTTAGGTATCCTTTGAGCAGTTACTATAATGCGATGTAGGGCATCAGCCGGAAAGATAAGAAAGTAACATAAAAATCGTAATGCAGCTTTTCAAAAATATTTTTTCCAATTTTCTTGTCGCTCATTATATGGATTTAATAATTATCATTTATTGATTGTAAGAATATTCGAATATTTTTCCTTTCTTTTGAAAAAGGTGTAAATATTTTAAAGTTAAATCCCTCTTAATAAAACAAATTATATTCTTTCCACGACAAATACACACATATATAAATAGCGGACAATCTGTCGCTTCGGACTGCATTCCGTTTTTACGGATAATGACTCGTCACGGTGTAACCTAAAACCTTTTCAACGGAAGCCGATTAAGGCTGTTTTGAGTAAGGAGAAAGAAGGCAACATTTCGAACTTAAATGTTAGATCACTTAGAGGTTCTGTAAAAGCGGAAAACACCACATTGACTGCAAGATAGTCATGAAGATGTATGTGAAAAAAAAACTTTTTATTATATTTCTTTAATTTTAAATTCTATTTTTAAAACTTGAAGAGAGATCGCTTATATGATATTAAGATGATTATACCCGTCCAACTTAAAAGGCTTTGTGAGAAACAACCACATTTAATAGGAAACAAAGGTCTTCCAAGCTTTCGTCAACAGGCTGGAAGAAACTCAATAAGTGTCCTTTTAGTCAGTTCTAGCTAATTAAGCCAAACCTTGCTACAAAAAGATCTACGATTAGGGACACAAGCGTCAGAGCTAATATATGTTGCCTGTTTTTGTGTACTTCCCCAAATGTCAGATTTTGAACAGTATTTAAAATCGTGTACCTGTCAGTTCGAGGCGCGCATTTAACAATACTATAACTGATTAAGAATTACTTTTTCCATAGTGTATAATACAAGGATTATACAATTATATTGTTATTATACGTACACCAAAGGACAAAACAGGGATAACATTAATTGTAGAAATGAGTACCATTGTGTGGGTTATCTATCGATTTGGCAAATATTGGTGACTGACTACCGGCTTGTAGTGTTTAGATTTCTGTAATGAGGCTAATGTGAGAAATCTAACCCGAAGGAACTAATGAACGCAAAGTACGCCTATAATCTCGGCAAAGATATGTCTCGAAATATTCTTACTTCGTGTGGCATGTTGATGGTCACGACCAGTTAAAGCCATACGGATTCTACATCCACGGAGCGATCGATGGGTACAGACGACGCATTGTATGGCTCAAAGTATCAAACAGCAACAACTTGCCAGCAGTGATATTGTCATACTACATAGAGACATAAAACAAATTAGGCATTTTGCAGATATATATCTTAGTTTTAAATTCATTATTTTGGTTTAAATTCAAGTTCATGTGCATGAATGATTTTAATATAAATGATATGTAAAGAAACGCTATGAGATTTTCCTTAAACTTTTTTACAAATCGACTTTAATTTCATCTGAGGCTTACAAGAGCATCAATCGTTCACTCATCAGCCTTTGATTAAAGTATGCAAGGTAACATTGTTAGTAATGCACATGTTTAGAATTTTGTAAAGTTTTTCATTTTTCAAAATAACTTTAATTTGCAGGTTTACAAGCTGTGTATATTAGTAAAAATATTATATGACAATACATTCTTTTTCTCAATATAGACAAGATTTGCCTGTTTTAATTTTACTGCTGATCAAAACTTCAAGGTACAGTGTTGGCTGACAAACGCCTTCTGTTAGCCAACAACAACACTCAAACATGTTCCTCGGTTCCGTTAAAATAAAGCCGTTAAGGTGATAAAGTTCCTGGTTTATCAGTACGTCTCAGAATAAATAGTAAATAACATAAATAACAGGTATAATTTTGACGTTATTATCACTTGTGTAAGTAATTTACTTTGGATCAAACACAAATTTGTAATTTAATTCAGTTTGATTCACAGTTAAAAAAAAGAACAGACTATGGCATATCAATGTTAATGTCCACCACAAATACCTAACACTGTAACATAATAAAGTTGTATTTTCATTATCTTGTCATGCAACGTAGGTTTAGCCTACCTTAAATATGTAGCAAATTGTAATACCATGATTTCATGTCAAGCACGCATTCCCATTTGTAAACCACGTGTGATTGGGAATGTGTAATAACAAAGCTAATTATCACTTTTGAGAGTAACATTCGTTGGATCTATCATAAATAGTTTATTCATATTTAATTCAATTTGATAAATAATAAAGGCATACATACTGGCAATACCAATGTTTAAGTCCGCAACAGATACCTATCATTGTATTCATAGTGACACGCAACATAAAATAGCATTAATTTTAAAATTCTCGAATAATATAAACAAAAAGAATGTGCTGCCACTTTCTTATGACTTAAAATTCAACAAAAAGAGACATGATTATTTAAAAAAATGAAAATCATGATATAGTGTCAAACAAGCTTTCCAATTTTGGCACTATGCATTATTTTGTAAAAAGAAAGCGCTATTTTTCATTTTGTGGGTAATATACATTAGGTTTAACACAAATGTGGAATAAAAGATAGGACGATTTACCAACCACGCAATCCGATTTTGGCATTTTGCATTATTTTGTAAGAAGAAAAGATTATAATCACTTATGCGAGTAATATGCATTAGATCTATCTCAAATGGGGTATTAGAGGAACATTGTAAGAAACGCATTACATTTTAAAAATGTGTATTTTGGATTCTCTTGTTTTTTTAATGTTTTCAAGATTTCCATGTTTAAAATTACTTTATTTTAAATTATTATAAACTGTGTGTCATGTGTTTTTTTGAGTTTTTTAAAATTTGATCTGACAATACATTTTTTATTGTAGACTTTATTTTCCTTTTTTAATTGTAGTTCATAAATTTCTTTTTGATGTATATGTTTAAGCTCTTGCAATGTTTTCTATCGCCATGACGATGCATGAAGACATTGTAAGAAACCAAACATAACAAAAGGACTAAATGACTCTTTACTATAACTTTATTTCTTCAGTATAATTCTTAGTATATAATCCGTCTTTCATGTTACTATTGTGTTTGATACTTAAATCTATAAAAGCAAACTATAAGACATTAATAACCGTACCCAAGCATGAGTAATTGAATTTATCATTCCGATTCAATAATATGCAGCTTTTATTCTAATTATTTGTTACATTATCTTTGACTCACATTCACACATAGTGATAAGACCTTCCTTTTGACCTTTTAATATGTGGCCTTAACCATGAATTTTACTTAACTCAACAAAGCTTAAGAATCACTAGTGTTTGGCCTTTTTAGTTTGAATCCACACGTATCAATTCTTTACTACTTTAACTATTTACTTAAACTATAAATATATGGCTTTGACCTTATAATGACCATGATCTTAATTATATTTATTGATAATATTTTCTAAAATTGAGTTTTTCTTGAACTGTTTTGGCTTAAGCTATAAAATGCGTCAGCTGTACCAGTCGATCGCTCCGTTGGTGCAGAGTCCATATGTCGTATCTATCTACATGCAACACAAAGTTGGGAACTTTCGAGACATAATTTCGCCGAGATAATCGATGTGCTTTGCATTCATTACTTTTTTAAGTATCGTTTTCTCACACTAGCCTTATTATAAATGTTTAGACACTACAACTCGGTTGTCACTCATCATTCTTTGCAACATTAACATCGATCGATAATTTATACACTTTGGACTCCTCTGAGTTTTTACACACATTTGGTCCCTAACTTAGTCCTCGGCAGTACGTTTATGCGTCGGATAAGATTGCAGACTTTCATTATAGCATGGCTTTGAGCTTTTTCTTTGTTCTTTCTTACCCATTACACTCGGTACACATCCATTTAGGATTTGGCAACTGTATCTATATATAACAGTGCATTATTTAACTTGATTCATAATGGGAAAACTCAATTGACATATAACAGTTGAATTATTTTGCTCCTGCTACATATCGGTTGAGTTTTTTTTTTACGGAGGTTCGAAGTTAGCATAAGTTTAAAGGGGGCATGGGGTAACACATTAAAAATACAAAAAAGAACAACAAACACACCAATACACACACGCACGCACGCACACACACCAACACACACAGGCACACGCACGCACACACAAACACACACAAAAATTCAAGAGCCGGTTGAACCGGGTGCTGCTCCCAGATCAGGTTTTGGACACAGAGAAACTACTTCTTGTTGATATCTCATGTAGTTTCAGAATTTTGTCCCGGATTTAGTTCAAAGTGTAAAAATGAAGAAAGGGCAAAATCTCAAACTTTAGGCAAGACAAAGTTACGCTTCTTTTACATTGCACATTATCATAGTATGGTCTATCTACCTACAAACTTTCTTGTCGATATATCTTATAGTTTAAGAATTATGTCCCGGACAAAGATCACAGTGTAAATAGAAGGACAATAACTTAAGGCAAAGCAGAGTTACGACTCATTTGCACTGCACATCTACCCAATGAGATATATCTATTTTGTGTTGATATATGTTAAAGTTTCTGAGTTATGTCCCGGACAAAGTTCAATGTGTAAAATGAACAAAGAGCAATATCTCCAAAAAAGCAAGGCAAAATTATGGTTCTTTTACACTGCACTACTCAATGAGATATCTATCTACCTACAAAGTAACAAAGTTTCTATGGTTCCAGAGTTACATGTATGGCTCGGACAAGAAAAGGGGACGGACGGAAGGATATCCGGACGGACAATACGGCTACTATATGATCTCCCTTCGGGGAGCATATAAAAAGAAAAAACAAAGATTGATGACATAAAGTTTATTCTTATATTTAATAAAATTTAACATGAAATCGCTGAACGAGTTTTTGCTGCTAAAATGTCATTAAATCTTGAATCTTGTCTGTCTGCAAAAGGTTTTTCTTTACATTACAACTCTTTACAATTTTATCTTGTCAAGTTCTCAATGATACACGTTGGTCTTGTAACACATTTTGACTTTATATCCGGTACATTGAGGTGGGGGTTAAGTTTACTGGATACATCTTTCAGAATTGCAGCTGGTGCTTTCTGATACTTCCTCAATGCGGTTGTACTTCTGTAACCAGTTCGATTTGATATTTCTTGCTCGGGTATGCAAGCCTGATACGAAGCTGTTACGCATGTTTTTTTTCACTGTAATTTGTATAATGTCCTTCTCATCCAGAAAAGAACATATGTCTTTCTTAAATGTTTAAATTTTTGTATTCCTACAACTTGATAACTGTAACGTGGTACACTGCAGTCAATCGCCAGCGTTAAAAGGGACCCAAGTTATCAAGAGCGTTAATGTATTGTTCCTAACAGTACATAATGAAGCTCCTGACATCATAATGATTGATGTATTTTATCTATACGCCTATGTTAAAATCCTCCTTTGTATGTTTTGCAAGCAGTACCTTAAAACCCTATGCACTTTCAATTCTCATCAGTCCCAATAGAAAACTGGTAACAGTCCTAATCATTGTGCTTATCAATATCCCGTAATCCAAATATCTTACAATTATAAAAGAACATGGTATGTTGTAGAGTAACTGATAAACTGTTTCCAAACACTCCCTTGGACCAGATTGTTTTTCGTCTTCATCATTTATTGACTTAGCTTCCCGACCGGAAATCCCCAAGCCATTCCGGTAAGTCTTTCTATTTGTGCGTCCGGTACGTTACAAAACCTTGCGAATGATGTATTGGCTTTATCCAGAAAGTTACAGTCATAAATTCAGTATAATTACAATAAATCACGGTTCTTTTTCCGAAAATGCTTTGCAGTAATATGACTTTTGGACTATATATTGCTCCAGTTGAGGAATAATCTCTCAATTTTTCCCGACAGACATTTTTCAACGATTCATACACGAAATTGGCCGAATTTCGTACACCTTTCTGTAGTTTTCGATTTTTGATTTTTACCAGCTCGTTAAGATAAGCATTGCTTGTAGCTTTTCCAAAACGATTTCGTTTGCCACGAGTGCTGTCGCTGAACAGCTAACAGTTCACATTTTTCATTTGACGGCATTTCAAGCGAAAAAATTCCGAAAGAGTTATCTTCAACAGTCATTATAAAAGTCACTGAATCTTGAATCAGTTAACATTGAAGCAGTAAATAAATCATTACTTTCTAACATATCAAGAGCCTTTGACAATACATTGTTGTCCTTCTCAAAACTTTCAATATCATATAGAAGTTATGATAATATCATACTGTCTCCATCATTTAACTGATCCATTAGGGAAGCCATAATTAATATATTCCATTCTTTTGACGACAGCGAAAACAACTTTAAATGACTGCGCTCATTTAGCTAGCAGTGAGGTGCATTGGACAGCATTAGCTGGTATTGTATTGGGTCATTTTATCTGGGGTTTCCATTTGAACAAAAGTGCAAAGGCACAAGAGAGGGAAATGCAAAAAGTATTTAGTATTTTTATTCCTTATTTCTGTTACAAAAAAATAATGAAATTGCAATAAAACAGTTATAATATATAAAACCCGTGTGATACGGGGGTAAAACAGTGCCTGGTGCGGTGTTTTAGGATGTATCTGCAAAATAATCGATCGGCCTGACGGCCTCGATATTTTGTTATGCAGGAACATCCCTACATGCCACCCAGTCACTGTAATACCTACTCGTTTCATATACTATAACTTATATTCAAACGCTTAAGTTGACACAAGCTTGGTTAAATAGTGTGCACAATATATGATGAAAATGTAATATCTTTGTATGATTAACTATGGAAAAAAATACTTAATCACTTCTAGTCCTATTAACTGCGACCCTCCGAGAATGACAGCTGAATCCATTTTCACAGCTTAAGTAACTGGCGTAAAAACAAACAGAAAATTTCAAACATCAATGCCTATTAAGAGACCATTTTTGTCGCCCTTAAAAGGTAAAAAGAAGACTTTGCAATATAAAATATAATCAAATTATTTTTACACACGTTCGAAAACCGATTCATTTTTAATTTTTTATATAAAACTGACACAATTTTAATATTTTTTCCAAATTTAACAAATTGGGGAATTGCAATTTCCAGAGACAGGCAACAGAAACCAGTTTTGACTCTTGTATCTCTAGTTGTAGTTTTATGTTTTTTTGTTTGTTTTTTTTTGGTAGCAAATGTTCGGCTTTAATAGCTAGAACTGCCTAAACATTCTCGAATGGAGTTTGACCCAGTCTGTTAAAGATAGCATAGGCGGTCTTGCCTTCTATTGAAACCAACCCTTTAATTTATACATATATAATCATTTAATCTGATAACGACATAACAAAAATCAAAGAAATATAATAAGATCAACTAAATCAAAGAAATATAATAAGATGTTGATCTAAAATACACTTGTCTATCTTTCAGTCAATGTGACGTTTTATCGCTTTTACGGAACCTCTAAGATCTAAGATCTAAGTTCTCAGAACTTAACTCAAACAGCTTAATTCTAATTGTAGCTTTTAAGCTTTTAACTTAAAACGGCTTCAGCGGTCTTTTGTTTTCTTCTATTTATCAAAGCAAACAAAAACGTTGATTTTTAAAACTTAAACTTTAGCTATAGTCTTAATACATATTTTAAAAAATTCGATTGAAATTGATTTTGATTTTGAAAAACAGATTTAATAATCAAATTAGATTGAAGAAATGCCATTTTAACTTAACCACTCTAACTTAAGAATATTGTTTAACGTACCCTCGATGACATTAAATTTCATCTTACACAAAAACAAACAATTATCATCAATCCGTTTTACCGTCTATTACTCTTAATAGATGATATGAAAAGTATGAAAGACACTTGAAATAAAATCGTTTAGTTGACGGAAATAGTTTCTTTCTGCTCTTATAATTAATAAATTAGTATTCTTCTTCATTCAAATATAGACATGGTTAAGGATGTTGAAAGAGGCACATGAGGAAAGTCTGTCGTCATTTGCGTAAGTATAACTTCTGTTGTTACATCTAGTAAATACATTTTGATTGTAATTTATTTTGTAATAATCAAGGTTACTTCAATTTTTTTGTCTTTTATTAACATTATTTGATTGTTAAATCAATACAGCTATCGTCTTTGTATCATCAGAATCGGTTTGTCATCACAATGATGCTATCAGAATCAGAATGTTACCTAGATGACGCTACATTCTTTGTATCGTCAATATCAGATTGTTACGTTAATGACGCTACCGTCTTTGTATCTCTTTGTATCATCAATATCAGTATATAATCTCAATGTTGCTACCGTCTTTGTATCATCAGAATCAGAATGTTACCTAGATGACGCTACATTCTTGGTATCATCAATATTAGATTGTTTTTTCAATGTTGCTACCGTCTGTTTATCATCAGAATCCAAAATGTTACCATAATGATGCTACCATCTTTGCATCATCTATTATATGAGATTGTTACCTTAATGATGGTAGGTACCGTCCTTTTTTCATAAGTATACGACTGTAACCTTATAAACGCTACCTTCTTTGTATCATGAGTACCAGATTGTAAACTCAGTGACGCTTCCGTCTATGTATCATCAATATCAGATTGTTACCTCAATGTTGCTACGGTATTTGTATCATCAGAATCAGAATAATACCTAGATGACGCTATCGTCTTTGTATTATCAGTATCAGATTGTTACCTTAATGACGCTACCGTATTTATATCATTAGTATTAGATTGTTACCTCAATGTTGCAACGGTATTTTTTAAGCAGCGTCAGGATTTGTGGCAAAGAAAGTACTGTTCACAGCGACAGTGGCTTTGGAAGCGGAGGGTCAGACACAAGCAGTAAGTAGCGGATCACTATAGAATTATGATAAACGCATAAATGCTTTATCTTAAGAGTCAGATTAATAAAATATTGCCTGAAAAACAATTTAAAGAATGCTATAATGCAGAGAGCACCTGTATAAGTACAAATGTTCAAGCATACGTGTGCATCATTAATTCATCCAATAATTCTTTTAAAATACATACAGCACAAAGATAGATTCATAAACTTTTATAAATATTCATAGATTGAATATGCGTTAAAATAAATGTAATAGAAATAAATGATGAAATAAGAAAAATGCACCTTTTGTTATTTAATTGCACAGTACAATTTTAAGATAAAATACGGAGAAAATGGAGAATTAAAAAGTATTCACCTCTTCAGTGGTTGTATTAAATAGAGATTACAATGGCAGATCAATTTTACTTTCTAATAGTTTCCCATAATAAACATTGCTGTCATAATTAAAAAGATAGGAGCTATGAACCAAAATTCAAATCCGTCTTTCAGAAAACTTGAGAGAATCAGAAAGAACATCTACAATGAATATAGATGACTATGGGTATTCACATGGTAACTTACAAAGTTTCATAATTTTCAAAACATTACACTATAATTAAACTTACAAATCGAAAATATAACAAAAGTACATAAAATTTATCACTCTTTAGTTTTACTATTAAACTGCATTAGTTTTTTATAGCGGTATACAGAGCTTCCGATACGGTGTCAAGTGTTCGGAATTGATGTATGTATGCTAGGACAAATAAATATAAATGCTGATCAGAATTCAGTAGGTTTTTGTAAATGTGTTTTGTAGACATGTATGTAATTGCTGGCAAAATGTGTAATATATTTTGTTAGTCACTTTCCGCGTAGCTTAAAGGGGATTATAGGAATGGCCTCCATGTGTCAGTCAGTCCTTACGTCTGTCCGTCCGTTACACTTTCGTGTGTCCGCTCCATAATTTTTAAATCTCTGATATTTTTCAAATAACTTTGCACAATAAATCGCCACGAAAAGACAATGTGCATAAAGCAATAATTGTGTTGCTACCCCAAAGGTCAAGGTCACATTTTAAGGTCAAATGTTAAATGTCTTCATTTCATTATAAAAGTCTACATTTCGTGTCCGCTCCATAACGTTTAAAGCGCTGAAAATGTTTTTAAATAACTTGGCAAAAGTGATCACCAGCATGATACGACGTGCAAAGCGTAATAATTGGGTTGCTATCCCCAAGGTCAAGGTCACACTTAAAAGTCAAATGTTAAAAAAGATCTTGTGAAAAAAGATTTTGTGACCTCTCCATAACTTAAATGGAGTGGAATGTAAAACAACAAAAAGTACGTGAGCATATTGTGAGAAATGGCCGTTTTCATTGTAAAGCCTCCTGTTACAAGTTCCAACTGCTATAAAACTGATTAACCTTGGCACATATGTTGACTGAACCATAACCTCTGTAACAACATGCTAAATCTTAAATTTCCGGTTACCATGGCAACGGGGGGACGTCTAAAAATGCAAAAAAATCACTATTTCGCATTGTTTTTCCCCATCAAACCTGGTTTCAAAGTGCTACAAATTCTCAATCCAATGAGATAGAGTAAAAGGCTTTTCAGCGTTTGTTACACACCACCTGAAGATCAAGTCCATTTTCAGCCTGTCACATGTCCAAAATTTTCTTGGCGATTAGGAGGACTACCACCTCCTTCAAACCATCAAACAGAAGGGAACACATCCTCCTTCTGGCAACCCCCTGATGTATCATTTTGATGGGGGCCGCGCCGAAAAAGTGGTGTTTTTTTACAACATTTTTCAAATGAAAAAAGTGTTTAGGGCCAAAATAGGGCACTTTTTCATAGTTTGAGCCCTCAAAAAAGGGGGGGGGGGGACAAAAAACAGTCGAAACACGTCTATATGAGGGAAAAGGTTAAGAACTAGGAAAATATGCCTTTTGCAGACCTTTCCACTTTAAGAAAGTAAAATTTTTCACAATTCCAGTAATGATTTACAATAATTTTTTATACCCAATGAGTGGCTGGTTTTGCAGTATTTAACTGCATGACAAACGAAGTAAGGGGTATTACTTTGCATATTGAGACAGTTATTTGATAATTGTAAACTTAGAAACGTGTCGTTTGCAATGTGTAAAGTGAATAACTTTCATTGTTAGCTTAGCAATATTTTATTTTTGAATACATTTTCAAAATTTTTATGAAAATTAGCATAAATCTGGATGAGTGCTGCTTTAAAGTTTAACAAAATGCAATAACTGATATGTCTACAGAGGGCTGCACAAATATGTACATAAACAAACATTCTTTGCTGAAACACTTGTCACATGTAACAATTCGCTTATGGTTTCAACTGATTACGGGTGTCAAATGACTTTTATGAATATGCGGCTGGGGCCGAACCAAATGATTTTGCATGTTAAAAAATGAAACAATGAAGTCAGATTTTGTCATCAAAACAGTTAGCGCTGAAAATGTTTTAAAATAACTTGGCACAAGTGATCACCAGAATGATACGACGTGCAAAGCGTAATAATTAGGTTGCTATCCCAAAGGTCAAGGTCACACTTAAAAGTCAAATGTTAAAAAAGGTATTCATTTCATTATAAAAGTCAACATTTCGTTACCTTTCCATAACGTAAATGGAGTGTTTTGAATAAACTTTGGACAAGTGAATACCATAATTAAACAACGTGCAGAGCGCAATAATTTTGTTGCTACACGGAAGGTCAAGGTCACACTTAACGGTCAAGTGTTAAAAGGTCAACATTTCATGTCCGCTTAATAACTTTTAAACCGCTGCAATTTTTATTGAATGACTTGACAAAAGTGTTCACCATTATGAGACTATTTGTAGAGCGCAATAATTTGGTAGCTACCGCCAAGGTTAAGGTAACATTTAAATGTCAAATGTTAAAAGTCTACATATTGTGTTCCCTCCATAACTTATAAACCGCTGAAAAAAGTTCTTTTAATATCTTGGCACAAGTGATCATCATTATGAGACGATGTGCAGAACGCAAAAATTGAATTGCTACCTCCAAGGTCAATGTCAAACTTACAGGTGAAATGTTATGTGTCAATGACATTTAAACAGTTGTAATGTTTTAAAGTTAACTTGGCAGAAATGATCACCATTATGACACCATTGGCAGAGCACAATAATCAAGTCACAACCCTAAAGGTCAAGGTCACACTCGAAGATCAAATGTAATTCATGTCAGCTCTTAAACTTATTGACAATTTAAAGGTTTTAAAATTACTTGGCCAAAATGATCCCCCCATGACAAGTCTACAGAGCTCAACATCCAGGTAAAGGTTTCTACCCCAAAAGGGCAAATTTTTAGTTTCCATAATATTTGACTTTGGAAAATGTAAAAAATTGGGGAAAAATGATACCCGTGAATAGGGGCTTATGATAGAATGGCACAAGGTCAGCTGTAACTTTTAGACTGCCTTGTTTTACAGTAAAAATGGAGTATATGAACTTTTCAGACAACTCCGGACAGAAAATTTTAGAAGATTTACTACCAAATTTTTATGTTTCAACTGCTATACACTTTTTATGGTTTTTATGTACCTTATTATCCAATAGTTTAAGGTATTGTTCAGAACAGACTACCATTAAAGAAAAGCAGCCAGAATCTTAGAGAAGATTATCTTTTTGAGCATTTTAGAGTGGTATTTCCGTTTGTTTACCCATGCTTGAAATTTCGTCTTGCATTGGGTAGCCAGTCGCGTGCTATACAACAACGGCATTTAAGCGCATTTTCTTAATCATTTAAAAACATTCTATGAATGAAATATGATATCCAATATTTTAAATATGATAAGGGTGGAAACTCGGCAATCCAGGTAACCACCTAATGGACGGTACCGTAAGGACGGTCATTCTGATCGGAACCGCAACATATGACAGACATAAGTATCTCATGTTTTTTTTTAGTTGAACATGTATTTGCGGCAAAAGGGAATGGTAGTAGACATAGAATACCTGTCAGTTCAAATAAGAACGATCCAATTCATATTGATATTGGTAAGTTATCTAGGAACGTTTATTTTTGTTTTTAGTCATGGTTTACATCAAGGAGACTTATATGCTTGCATCCACATGAGCGAAAGCATTTCAAAAAAATCATCCTTGAGCAAATGATCTAAGATTTAAAAGAGAGCTGGTTTATAATGGAAAGTTTGTAATACAACAAAAAGTACGTGAGCATATTGTGAAAAATGGCCGTTTTCATTGTAAAGCCTCCTGTTACAAGTTCCAACTGCTATAAAACTATAAAAAAAATGCTTCAATACTGATAAACCTTGGCACATATGTTGACTGAACGATAACCTCTATAACAACATGCTAAATCTCAAATTTCCGGTTACCATGGCAACGGGGGGGGGGACGTCTCAAAAATGCGAAAAATACAATGAGAAAGAGTAAAAGGCTTTTCAGCGTTGGTTACACGCCACCTTAAGATCAACCCGAGTCCATTTTCAGCCTGTCACCTGTCCAAAATTCTCTTGGCGATAAGGAGGACTACCGCCTCCTTCAAACCCCCAAACAGAAGGGGGCACATCCCCCTTTTTTAACAACATTTTTCAAATGAAAAAAGTGTTTGGGGCCAAAATAGGGCAATTTTTAATAGTTTGAGCCCTCTAAAAGGGGGGGGGGGGACAAAAACAGTCAAAACACGTCTATATGAGGGAAAAGGTTAAGAACCTATGGAAAATATGCCTTTTTTTTGCAGACCTTTCTCTTTTAAAAAAGTAAAAATTTTCACAATTCCAGTAATGATTTACAATAATTTGTTATACGTAATGAGTGGCTGGTTTTGCAGTATTTAACTGCATGCCAAACGAAGTAAGGGGTATTACTTTGCATATTGAGACCGTAATTTGGTAATTGTAAACTACAAATTTACAATGTGTAAAGTGAATAACTTTCATTGTTAGCTTAGCAATATTTTATTTTTGAATACATTTTCAATTTTTTTATGAAAATTAGCATAAATCTGGATGAGTGCTGCTTTAAAGTTTAACAAAATGCAATAACTGATAAGTCTACAGAGGGCTGCACAGATATATACATAAACACACATTCTTTGCTGAAACACTTGTCACTATGCAACAATTTGCTTATGGTTTCAACTGATTACGGGTGTCAAATGACTTTTATAAATTTGCGGCTTGGGCTGAACCAAATGATTTTGCATGTTAAAAAAATAAAAAGTTAGATGATGAGTAAAAGTAGGTTTTCAGCACGGATCGCTTGATTTTATGATGAGAACTCAATCTAAATTTGTACAAAATTTGAAATTTAAAGAAAGAAAACGATTATTTTATCATGAGGAAACGAAACTTGCTCCTTGATTCTAGTTGATTTTGAATGCACAAAAAAGAAGCAACGCATAAGATACTGTACTGTAAGCACAGAGACAGGAATGTTATCGACACAATGTATATCAAAGTAACTAAGATGGTGTGAAAACAAATTATGTATGTCATATTATTATAAAATCTATAAAAAGCTTTGAATTTTTTTTCTTTGATTGACTAAGAATAGCTTTTCTTAAAACAATAACAGCTCAATATCAGAGTGTATTTACTGTTTTTTTCCCATAAAAAATAGATGTTAGAGTATATTCACAACACAACAAAAGATAGTAGATTGGAAAGTCTAAAATAAGTTACAATTTTTGAAAATTAAATACTGCCAATGAAGCGTCTACATTCTCTTCTAATGCGATGGCTCAACTCTAATTACAAAACGAACATCACTACATCAAGAACTAGGTTATGTTCCTATGGAAGGTTGTTGATTGGTTGCAAAGTAAAGTCACTAGTTGCTATGGAATTTACAACTGATATTACTTAATGAATCTAGGTTTTATTCTCTGGACAAACTTAAGTCAGTTTCTGCTTGTGCGTGAAAAGGAGCGATGTGTGATCCGATAAGCGCTCTCCCTGTTTAAGGTGTCGATGTTTAAAGCTTCTTCTCTTGCATCGAGTGTTTCCTTCCATGTGTTATGGTATTGGTACATGTCGGGCGGAACAGGTATGAAAATCTGGAAACAACGTGGTCCCTCGGAAGCATTAATCACAACAAAATTACATAAGAATTGCAGACTCGGTTTGATTGAGTCTGTACATGTGGAATACTGAATAAGCGCAACATTCCTAACGCCCTCTAGCACCGGCTTGAGTGGTACTCAATTCTCAATACATGTACTTAAAAGTGCTGGCATCAATGATCCAGAAGAACCAGAAAAATATAACAACACTAAAGTGAAGTACGGGGCAACTTTTTACAGCTGCCACACAGCCTTTGACACCTGCTGGTGTGAAGTATAAAACTCTGAAAACAAAGTGATCCCTTGGAAGCATTAATCACAACACAATTACATGAAAATTGCTTGCAGACTCGGTTTGATTGAGTCTGTACGTGATAGATACTGAATAAATGAAAGATCCCTCACGCATGAAGTAAAATGAAGTCTTTGATGAGATGACCAAATACACATGTAGCAGGAGATAACTTGGTGTCTCTGTCAGGTGTGTTCCTGTACTGGAGCATCGCACGTTGAAATACATCGGTGTTGAGATCCCCGTTGCTACCTGTGTTGTCAGCTTTAAGACGATTTTGACGCCTATTTCAGCTCAGCAATTACTGTGTGGAAAAGCCGTGGAGGAAAGGAGGTAATGGACTTTCCTGTCCTTTAAGAATTGCCTGGTTGTCGTTGCCGTAAATTCAGGCCGCCATCAGACGCCAATTCATCCGGAATCACAAATGTCTCAAATGTTCGGCGTAGTGAAGTAATAAGACCATCTGCACCATTCGAAGATCGTTTAACTATTGGTAGGTTGGAGTATCGATCAACTATACCTATATATCCAACACCTTGATGGTAAAAATAATCTGCACAAAAACATTGGAATGGGTAGTCTGGATATATTAGGGGTGTAGGCGGTGCACTAGGATTCGAAGCTGCGATATGATTGCAGTGATTGCATCCAGCTCGAAGGGCTGTTACCTGGCCAAAACACGGAGGATTCTGCTCGCGATACCATGGAGGTAATTCCATGATGTGATTAATGAAGAGCTGCGAGAACTTCTCGTCGGAGGAATAACTACACGATCCTTGTATAGTATCACACCATCTACTGTGTAGAGATACTAATGGAATTGAAAATACTTACGTAGATGTGCAGGAAATTGTTTGCAAGACTTGGGTACTCCACATACTATAAGCTTCAGGGGTTCATGCATGTTATCGTTACTATTTGTGGCAGTGCGAACTCTGTCCCATGTGACTGCTCTCACGGCAAGCGAGTCCAAGTGAGCTGAATCGGTGATACAGGTATCAATATCATTGTCATTTAGAATTGAATATGTTGATGGCAACGTAGGGAGGAGAACATGTCCTAAGAGAAGGTACATTGATAATTGTTGCAATGTCATCTTGAAGCGGTAGCTTTTCAGATTTTCCGGTTGTATGACGTGATACTCTATCTGCAGCAAGATACTTGACCCCTGGAGTATAAATCATGCGAAATCGATAGCGGAGGCTCTTTTCTTTCAAGTTTCTGAGACGTAAGTTGGAGATGTCCTCCAATGATATGTCACCAAATATTTCTAACAGGGGTAGATATTCAACTGCTATGACGAGATCGTCACACCTAAGAACAAAATATCTTGCTTTATCAAGAGCATTGATAACTGCCAAAGCTTCACCTTCACTGGTGCATATCGAGACTCAGCTGAATATGTGAACCTACTCCCGACAAGTGTAACCTTCCAACAGGTGCGACAACAAAATGGTTGGTTGCCCGGACAGTTGCAACGTTTCTGGAACAGCCAGAACCCGATTCCTGACTTCTACCAATCTGTGGCGAGGCAGGTAGGTTTTGTCTTGTCACAGATTCCAGCCTTATTCAATTTTATTGATAACAGCAGTTTGTTTCGCTTTTCTATATGAACTACTGACTGCTTGGACATCCTGAAAGTCTAATAGTCAGGAGACAGATCATCTTCTAGACTCTATAGCTTCGACAAATTGTGCTACTTCTTCTAATGACATATCCTGATTCTTATCACCAATGAGATCTTATCGTATTTCAAGGTCTCATATGCCGCGTGCCAATACGTCTCTGACTATTTTGTCAGTGTAATTAACATCAGTGCTGCATGCTGGACACGTTGTCAGGAATTTGCAGACAATAGCATGTCCTCTAAATTGTGCACAGAGACGACGTACAGGCTCATCACGATCTTGACGCATGTTATGCAGGTAAACTCGGGCTACCATAGTGTTTTCTTCTAGAACTACCAGTTTTGTTTTTGCAGCCATCACTTCTTCTTCAGACCTATAATTAAGACTTCCACCAGCTGTTAAATGTGTTAAATCTTTCCGAAGTTGTTCGTCACAGCATGCTAAAAGCTGTACCACGTAATCGCAGCCTTCGATTTTAGTGGCGTCAACATAGGCAGACCATCGAGATTGGAAATATGCCCATTCTTTACTTGTTCCTGCTGTCACTTTTGTTGGTCTTTGAACTTTTTCAACTTTGGCAGCCTGTCCAGGAGCGTGTGTGGTACAGTAAGCGGTTATGAGTGCGAAAAAGATCGGTCTCAAGGTCGTCAGTGACGTAATCACAGCCTGGTATTGGACAGCCTTCTGATGGTATTTTGATCCGTTCTTAGACAAACGTCTTTCACAAAAGTACTGGTATTTTGAATCTCTGGCCGTGGTCATCAATAAGAACAAGGTCCATTTATTCATATATCTCTTTATTATGATGAACAATGACCACGGTCAATCTGAAATGAACAAAAAACATATGAAAGATGAATGACTTAGCTAATGTTCATTGAACAATTGTATAAATAAATGTTTATAATCCTCGACTTATGGTCTCATATGTTTCTTTCTTTATTTAAATTAATGTCTGGATCTAATGTTCCATTACTTAAAGATGAATATTAATTGAAAAAATAAGGTAACACACGATTTAATATACAAAATGATAAGGACAAAAAATGGCGTTTGTGAGAAAACCTTGTCAGACAAACTTTCGATTCCAATTCAGGTGGAAGATAAATAAAGAATAAATCCGTTGTATATGTCAATGATTTTTTTACTTAATTGCTCAAATATATCCCTATATCATTTGCCACCAAACATAAGTCACGTAAAACACATATGCATGCAAACAAGTTAAAGTTTGTTTATTTGCTCATCTATCTGATTTGTAAAAAAGTTTGTACGAATTTCGCAGGTCTGTCCACCTTACCGTTTTTCTTTGATACCGAAGCAGCAATTACCAGTCTTAAACAATGACCGACTCTTATCCTTAATAATGAAATAAAATAAAATAGAAATAGAGAAAAACAGAATCCCTAAAGAAAGCCCAACACGGCAAAATTGTAAAATGTTGCAGGCTCGGTTTGATTGAGCCTGTTTATGGACGGTACTGGAAAGTGCAAGTTACCGTCCACGCCCCCTAGCACTAATCAACGATTAAAAAGTTGATGCTTTCCTTGTTGACTTAAATGGACAGACGAAGTGCATTAAACTTGATGTCTTAACGTTTATGGTTTTATTTTGTACTGTTTGATTTCATTTGTTTTGGGTTGCGTGCGTTGAACGCCGCCTTTCCGTGTTGATCTTGTTTATCATGTTCAATGTATTCTGTATGAAATTTAACCGTTAAATAAAATACTTTTGATCCAGGTGTAGATGTGCATGATTCGAAACATAAAGAAATAACTGAAACAATAATCTAAACGACATACTTATTTATAGTTATCCTGCTGGACCAAAAAGTGATATGCATTGCCAAAAGTTTTGAGCCAAGCAAACCTACACCTCCATGTTCTATATGTGGTCTGCTTTTTAAATTTGTCTTTTGACGTCTTATCTGTGATATGCAGGCTTCATAACCTATGATCCCCTTTCGAAATTCCATTTTATTTAGTTCCGTCCATTGTTTTCTCGTTTAGGGCACACGCATTTTTACTTGGGAACCATATGCCGCTTTTCATGGAATAGCACTTACGTGTAACATTGAAGGTTCCATGCTTACCGCCATATGAACACATCTGCGGATTTTCAAAATTCAAAATTGTACCAGTTCATGTTAAATGTTGAATTCTTCTTAAGCCTTGGGGCGTGGAGGTAGTTTGCACTTGATAGTACCGACCATGAACAGGCTAAATCCAAACGAGCCTGCAATATTTCAATTTTACCGTTTTTGGCTGTCCTAGGGATTCTAATTTTCTCTATTCTATTTCTGTTATCATAAACAAGCAAGGATAGAGCAATTAATGTTTGAGTATATACTGTTTTGTTTATTGGCAATATGAATCTAATTTTGTGTCTCATACAAAGTGAGACGATGTGAACATGTCATATTCTTTTCCTGTGCCTCTCAATGTGGCAGGTAATTAAAAATGGTTCATTTATATAATAAGATATGGCTGGACAGGAAATAAATGCGTTGGAACAAATAAATACAACAATGGTGGAAACATTTGCAAAAAAAAATGAGGCGTTTAATACACAAGAGCCTGAGGGTAAATCTTTATTTCAGCCATGTGTAATTAAGATTAGATAATAAAAATGTATAACTTAATTGAATCAGATTGTTGTCCCTTTACAATTTTGATATAATTTCATGATTTCAAAGTTCTAATTTTATATAATTTGTTTGTAATTAAATTTTAAAAAATCTGTTAAAGGTGCTGTCGGAATGCAAAGTCATGCACAGTCTGCATCTTTCGCATCCATAAAGAGCGGAGAAAGAGAATCAGTTGAAGATGCATTGTCCATGGTGTCGATAAGATCACATGACAGAGAAATGTTAAATTTGAATGAAAATGTCTCGTGTTTAAATAAAGGTCGATGTAGGAAAAGAAGCAGCAGCAGTGGTAGTAGTGGGAGCGAATCAACTCCCTATGATACACCGGCTCCTTTAACAGAGGTCAGTATTATATCAAAAATGGTACTTTAAGAGTAGAAACCAAGTATATCTGAGTAATTTATCGTTAACTGTATTTCAGAACACAAGACCGTTTCATTGCATATCTCAACAGTTATCGCACACGAGGAAAATTAGAAATAATGTCATTTTGATATTCGATATTGATATATCACGAACAATGACAAAACATACTGTCTATGTTGTTTGTTAATATGCACGTTTGAAATACAATGTCAAAATAAAAATTATTAAGTATAATGTTCATTTCAAAATAATAAAATAGAAAGAAGAATAATAGCTTACGACTCTAAAATAATTAGTACCAATCAAATTGATGAATCAGCTTTGGATTTATGCAGCGTGAAGAATTTACATACAACATTTGTTCTGGTTAAATACTGAATGTGTTAATAAAATAAGTGCCTTTGATATATCCAAGTAAAATTACTTTAGTACGATATAGTAAATAATCTTATTTTACAGAACTTTGAAGAAAATGAGTACCTCTACACTGAAAATCATTTTGATAAGAAGTAAGACATTTTCGTAATCGAGATAAGCCTTATTTGACTCTGATTCAAGGTCACATACTCTTAAATGTTTTATTCCATGATATTTTTTTTTCAATTTCACAAGAACATTTACTGAACAAGGTTATCTTAATGTTTTAATTAAGTAAACAAACGTCTTCGTTTCAATTGCGTGTTACATAGACACCGTCTATTTACTATACTTAACAATCAGCAGACACACATTTCCATATTACAAATAATATATATAACAATCTTTTAAAAACATGTATATCTCAAAAACAATATTGCTTCAGTTTTAATAAACCCATCAATATTGTCAATGTTTCTGCAACTACATTTTCTCGTCACAAAGTCTAGCCATTTGTTTAAAGCACTGTCTTAAGTTTTAAATGATATCATTCCAGCATCATGAATGGCGTACCCATTGGAACATTCCTGATTCAAATGAGAACAAAATCTATGGTATGCAGTTGATTCTTACATTTAAGGATTGCCAAATAATAAAGAAATAAACTAGAAATGTAATAACCCGATTACATGATGAATGAAAAACTAGATATTTTTCATAATTATATAGATAATAAAGATATTGCAGTGATTTGGAATTTTTTTTGAAAATATTGATGCTTGTCTACTTGATGTTTTTTTTAGCAATATTTTGGTACTTCTAAGTACTTGTTTTTCGTTATTTCCTGACAAATAAGAAAACATTCGTTTTCATCTGTCTCTACGACAATTTATTCGAAAGGATAACCAACTATTCTTTTAACATTTTTGCAGGGATATAGATTGCATGTTATGACACCAAAAGGGGCTATGTGTTTTAAAATATACGAGCAGGTAATTTTTTCTCACTTTTTAGCTCACCTGAGCATGCTAAGGGTGAGCTTTTAGGATCAGTGATTATCCGTCGTCCATCGTCCGTCCGTTCACATTTTGTTGTTAAAACTCTAGCGGTCGCATTTTTACGTCAATCATCATCAAACTTGGTCAGGAAGCTTATCTAGTTGATAGCTCGGATGAGTTCGAACATGGGTCATCTCGGATGAAAAACTAGGTCACAAGAGCTAAAAATAGTAAAACCTTGTTAACACTCTAGAGGTCACATTTTTGCCTCAATCATCATCAAACTTGGTCAGGATGTTTGTCTAGGTAATAGCTCGAATGAGTTCGAACATGGGTCATCTCGGATGAAAAAGTAGGTCACCGGAGCTAAAAATAGAAAAACCTTGTTAACACTCCAGCGGTCACATTTTTGCCTCAATCATCATCAAACTTGGTCAGAATGCTTATCTAGTTGATAGCTAGGATGAGTTCGAACATGGGTCATCTCGAATGAAATAATAGGTCACAAGAGCTAAAAATAGAAAAACCTTGTTAACACTCTAGCGGTCACAATTTGCCTCAATCATCATCAAACTTGGTGAGGATGTTTGTCTAGGTGATAGCTCGGATGAGTTCGAACATGGGTCATCTCGGATGAAAAAGTAGGTCACCGGAGCTAAAAATAGAAAAACCTTGTTAACACTCCAGCGGTCACATTTTTGCCTCAATCATCATCAAACTTGGTCAGAATGCTTATCTAGTTGATAGCTAGGATGAGTTCGAACATGGGTCATCTCGAATGAAATAATAGGTCACAAGAGCTAAAAATAGAAAAACCTTGTTAACACTCTAGCGGTCACATTTTTGCATCAATCATCATCAAACTTTGTCAGGAAGCTTGTCTAGGTAATAGCTCGGATAAGTTCGAACATGGGTCATCTCGGATGAAAAAGTAGGTCACCGGAGCTAAAAATAGAAAAACTTTGTTAACACACTAGCGGTTACATTTTGGCCTCAATCATCATCAAACTTGGTCAGGATGCTTGCCTAGGTGATAGCTTGCATGAGTTCGAACATGGGTCATCTCAGATGAAAAACTAGGTCACCGGAGCTAAAATTAGAAAAACCTTGTTAACACTCCAGCGGTCACATTTTTGCCTCAATCATCATCAAACTTGGTCAGTATGCTTATCTATTTGATAACTCGGATGAGTTCAAACATGGGTCCTCTCGGATGAAAAACTAGGTCACAAGAGCTAAAAATAGAAAAACCTTGTTAACTTTCTAGCGGTCACAATTTTGCCCCAATCATCATCAGACTTTGTCAAGATGCTTGTCTAAGGTCAATGCTCTGATAAGTTCGAACATGGATCATCTCAGATGAATAACTAGGTAACAGGAGCTAAAAATATAAAACTTGTTAACACTCTAGTGGCTACTGTTTTGATCAAAATATCCTGGGCATTGGTCTGAAAGTTTTTTTTTATAATTTCTAGGTCAAATTTGAATAAGGGTCACCTGGGTTCAAAAACTGGGTCACACTGCCCAAATATTGAAAAACCTTGTTAACATTCTAGTGGTCACATTTCGACTCAATTATCTTCAAACTTGGTCAGGATGCTTGTCTAGGTAATTGCTCGGATGAGTTCGAAATCGCATGTGAAACTAGGTCACCGGAGCTAAAATAGAAAAATCTTGTTAACACTCTAGTTGCTACTGTTTTGATCCAAGTATCCTGGAAATTGGTCTGAAAGTTTGTTTTGATGATTTCTAGGTCAAGTTTGAATATGGGTCACCTGGGTAAAAAACTAGGTCACACTGCTCAAATATGGATAATCCTTGTTAACACTGTAGTGGTCACATTTTTGACTCACCTGTCATGAGACTTGGTCAGAATGCTTGTCTAGATAATTGTTTGGATGAGTTTGATAGGTCAGGTGAGCGATCTAGGGCCATCATGGCCCCTTGTTTATTATACTCTGAAGTAATCCAAAATAAAGAGGATATTTGTTTGTTTGTGTGTAAGGATGAACTTTTGTTTCTTCGAGTGAGCTTTTAAAAACAGTATTCTCACGAGTGGCTACGAGACATCATACACAACAAACAAACAAATTTTCTTTTTATTTTATTTTATGCCTAAAAACAAGTTAGTTAAAATGGAATTTCCTTAATATTACCTTTAATTTAAAATATGTTACCCCACTGGTAGCCTCATTTTAGTCGATTTACAAGAAGTCTTGAGCTGAAAAATAAGTTCGACAATCAACGTTCAATGGCGATGATATTATTTATTCTATTCCAAAAAATAAAACATGAATAATATCTTGTTTAAAAATAAAAAAACCCAAACAATTCTAGGAGAAGAAAACGTCACACCATCCGACCTTATTTCCGTTACTTACGATGAATTTATATTAGACCAGGCTTTATGTAGAATGAAGCGGTCGCCATTTTTTAAAGTTGTGCATTTCACGGGAGGAAAATAGTTTTTGTTTGATTCAGAAGGATATCATTTTTTTATATGAAAGGGAACTTATTTGAGGATTGCAACAAACAATAAATAATTGTTGACAGATGTGTAAGCATTCAAAAAGAGGCTACGAATTAGGAAAATATGGAATTGTTGAAAGGCTGTCTTACGAACGCTGGGTTGTTTACTTATTCTTCGGGCTGATGACTGTCATTGCTTTTTAAGTTTTCTTATTGCATTAAGCAGTTATTACTCGTAGGATACTTAAATATATCCAAAAGTCATCAATAGCAGTTTTGCATATGGAAGAAAGTGTATTCTTCAGACTGTAAAAATGAAACAAAAAATTTAGAGACAATATTTGGTGAGTGTTAATTGGAATGAATTGAAGTAAGTTTTATATTTGCATTACTTTGAAATTTAAGTTATTTATCAATTCCAGCTTTGATTTTCTCTTAACAGCTCTGA